TTTTATATGTAGACAATTCTGTAACCTGCATGTTTTTCTAAGATCAGTTTCAGAAATCGGTCTCAAGAAGAGTTATTCTGGCCAATCCAGTTTCTTTGTTTCCTGTGGTCAGGTTATCACTATATTTTCTGCCTCCAACTACTACGAAGAGGGGAGCAACCGGGGAGCATACATCAAACTGAATCCTAAACTGATTCCACGGTTCGTACAGTACCAAGTCAGCAAGTACACACGCAGGCAGAATCTTCAGGAGAGGTAAAGCTGTGTGTTGTACACAGTGAGCGTGTACTCAGTGAGCACGCGAGTACCTGTCACAGATCTACAGCCTGATTGAATAATTAAATAGCCATTTATTTTCCTTGGCTTTCCTTGGTTTTCTGTTTTACAATTTAAAAAATAATGCAGTAGACAAAACATGCTCTAAGTGCTCTAACTTGGTTTCCTGAGAAAGTCCCAAAGGTAATTAGACACAGCAAGCGGTTAGAACAGACAATTGTCAGGGACTCGTAAAAGGCCTGCGCCCGTCTGTCAGGCCTGCTTTAAGGCTGCAGTGTTAATCTGGACAAATCCTGTTATGAATCGAATCCAAAAAGTTCATCATGACAGCTTTGCCATGCCTCGCACTGTGGTCAGATTTACTAAAGCAAAGCAGCTTAGAATTACCTGCATAAACTCGATTATCTCGCAAATTCGGGTTATACTTATGGGGCTTTGTTTGTTTCATTCGTTTTGGTGGGGCTTTTTCCCCACAGTGTTATCTTTTAGGATGACCCTGAACATGCTACATGTTAAACGATGGAAGAATTTGCTAATGACTGTTGAAAAGCATAAAATGCTAGAGGATTTAAATCCTTTAATGATCTGCTCTGCGTTTTTTTCCTCCTAGGGTGGGAACAATTGAATCATCTGCCTTAAAGTCCTTACGAGAGAAGATTTATGCTCACAGGTCTGAGCTCACTAGTGCTTTTGCACAGTATGACCTCAACAGCACAGGTAACACTGCCTCTCTTGTCCAGTTGCCACCATGGGGATAATGGCTTCCACGGCGGGGCGGGGGGCTGAGGGCACAAACCCCATGGAGAGCGGTCCCGCCTGGCGCCGTAAGGCTGGAGGGCAGCAGAGGCTGGTTGATCTTTTGTTCTTTCTGACCGCAGAGGAGGATAGGTGTTAGCAATTGCTCAGCCCCAGAAAACAACTTGGGGGGATGAGGCTTTAAGTAGGAAGAAGAAAACAACTGAAGCACGTGGGCAAATAAGGAAACGATGTTTGATGTTGGGCAGAGTTTGGGCAGGCAAACCCAGCTCCAGAAGCTCCAGGGTCACCACCTTCACTTAGGAGTGTCTTCAGAAGCTGCCAGACAGGGAACTGGGGTCTCGGGTGAGGGGGAGTTGGTCTCCCCCTGAGTCCGGGAGATACCTGCGGAAAGTTGACTGGCTATGCCACCAGCAGACACACACCCATCAGCTGAAGAAAAGTCAGTGTTAAATTGATACATGAACCTTGATGATTTCTAGCACAAATACAACTTTTCCTCATGATGGCATCTCACTTGGCTGGGCCATCAGCTGTGCCCCTAAAAGGGCAATCAGTAACGTGATGGTGCTGTTTCTTTGGCCACAGAACAACTGTTTAACACATTTCTATCATCTTGGGGTTTCAGACACGTATCTCTGTAGTTGCAGCTCAGCTCAAACCTCAAGTACTTCACGGCATAATCTGGTTTTCTCTAAAGGTATTAAAACATGCTGAACATCATAATAGGATCACCAAGTTGCTGAGGTTGGAAGGGACCTGTGGAAATGTCTAGTCCAACCCCACTGCACATTGTTACAAGGGTTTTTATCCCAGGGTTAGGAGAAAATGTTGATTTTTTTGCAACTGCTCTTAAAACTGGCAGAAGGCATGCTGGTGACTGATGTGTCTGTGTCACGTACGGCTTGTAACTGTGAACTGACCCCTTCTGGCAGGCAGGATTTCTGTCAATGACTGGGCTGCGGCGATGGAGTCTGTCCTGCAGCTGGACCTGCCCTGGAGGATGCTGCGCTCTCAGTTAGTGCAGATGAACCCAAACGGAAAAGTTGACTACATGTCATGTTTTTACGATTTGAAAATAGGTCAACCTACAAAAGAGGTAAGGAGGAAAACGCCTCCTTGCAAATCTTGGAGGAATGGCTTTTGGTGCAACTTGAGGCAGAAAAACAGTGGTTTGGCCAATGAGGTAGACACCTACAGCTGAACTAGTTGCTGAACTTCCTTTTATAGTCACTGGAGGGAAATGAGCACTGCTGGGCTACGAATCATCATTCCCTGCTAAGGTAGACGCTTAAAATAGGTTGGGTGAATCACATGCTAGAACTGCTTCTTACTTTCTGTTGACTCTCATGGGCGTTTAGATAACGTAGCTGAGGAGATGCGACAAAACCTGCCCAGAGCAATGCAACTCTGTGAAATGAGCTTTTCAGACGTGCTCCAGAGCCAATTCAGGCACCTGTAGGAGGGAGCTACATTTGTGGATGGACTTCTAGATGTTTAATGGTAGCTGAGGTCTCTTCTACAGAGTCCAGTTGTTACCGAGTGGCTGCTTTGGCAATGGCTATCGCCGTCATTTTTCTGAACGGCAGCACCCGTTCACCTATGTACAGAGAAAGCTTTGTATGAGTGCACGGCTTACTGCATCTTCCCCAGATTATCTGTGTTGCCACAAATAATTACTGAGGGTAGGAGGTGTGAAGGGCTTCTTCCCCCCTGCCCTGCCAGCTGAAAGTGACAGGTTTTAGCTGATTATTCCTCAGGGCAAGACATCAACTATCATTCCAGAGAACTCAAGCATAAGGATTTTTGTTTTAAACATTTGACAAGTTAAACTGGGAAAATAGTACATATTCTGTTGGTTAGACTAACTCAAACCAAGCTCTGAATGGTTTCCTGTATGTGATTTCAAAACCAGGTTCAGCCAGCTTTGGTGGAGACACTGTGCCGATACAGAAAGGATCTGGAGATCATCTTTAACATCATTGACAAAGATCGCTCAGGTAAGGCTAGGTAACTTCACTGTGCTGGCTCCAGCAAGCCTATGCTAGTTATCTTTCCCCGCTGTGTTTCCTCCTTCAGGCTTCTAAATATAGAGAAACCAGAGGTGATGTCATTTTTCCAATTTAGTGAAGACTAATTTAAGCAGTCAGGCTGTAACCATATAAGGGACAGTGCACAGAGCCTAACTCGAGAGAAAATTCTCACATATCCCAGCTCCAGGCACTTCTCTCTTTCGGGGGCTTTTTCTCCCTTCCACTCGCACTCTCCATATTTACTGCTTTCTCAATTCTGCTGTTGAAAGCACTCGATCATCCCCTGAAGTAAAAACGTTATTCTGTCATGAAATCATGAAACACACCCAAGCCTCGGTAGGCAGGTAACTTCCTTGCAGCGAAGGAGCGTGGATGCAGGAAGGGGAAACCGCACCGGGAAAGGCAATGTGGTGTCTGTCTCCTTCAGGTCTGATTTCTCTTGAGGAGTTCGGCCAGACCTGGAAACTCTTCGCTTCTCACCTGGGCATTGATGTGCACGATGAATCCATTGACAAGTTAGTCCTCAGCATAGACTACAACAAAGACGGCCATATCGACTTCAATGAATTTTTAGAGGCCTTTCACGTGGTTCACAGACTAGAGAAAAAGGCAAACTCATGAAAAGGCAGAACTTCCCGGGGGCCGTCTCGGAAGCTCACCCTCCTGGCACCAGGCACACGCGGTCTGGGAAACCAGTCTCCAGCCTGACCAACAATAAATGTGCTGCTCAGTACAGTAAGCACTGCGGTCACTGTGTAAGCCTTTATTTAGCCCCTCGTGGATGATATACACCTGCTAGTAACGAGACAGAAGAGGTGAAAACCCGCTGCTTATAGTGTTACTGTGTCCCTGCCACGTCAGTACCTCACCATTTATCCCCCTCCTTGGTGGCACCTCCCTCATCACCGTAATCTGTGAACGCTGCCAAGGTCACACCCACAGCCCCGTGGGAAGAGGAACATGGGAAAGGTTCCTCCGACAGGCCTCAGCGACAGCCGAGGCCGCGGCGATGGCCACGAGGAACGTGTCAGCCCCTCGCTGGTGACAGAACGGGCACGACAGGGGCTGCCGGCGGGCCAGCCAGGCCCCGAGAGGAAAACGGGAGGTGAACGGTCTAGTTAACATCGGTGGTTCTGCATTTAATCTTGCTCTTCGCATGATGCAGTGAAATTACAACATTCCAGGTCACGCTCTGTCCTCCTCAAAGTTTACAGACACGGCTTAAAGGAACGTAGTTGAAAGGTGTTTACACTTGCACTAGAATCCTTCTTGCCACTGGTTATTTTTCCCTACATTTGTTGGGGTTTGGAGCTAAGAAACAGTCGTAACTCGTCACCTCACAGAAGGCTAAATCCACAGCATGTTAATGCAACATATGATAGGTCGCAGAATAAAGCTTTAGCTTTCACGGCCACGTGTGAGTGTGGTGTCTTTTTGCCTGTCTTTTGGTGTCCTACAGGTATCAGAGTACCACACGCTTTTCCTGAAGATGACCTGGATTTCGTCAAAGAGATGAGTAAGAACACAAAAGTACACAAATGTCGATACTACCAAACCTAAATATTCTTGCATATAGTTAAGCATAAATTCTTTGCCAAGTAAAGTAAACCGAGAAATTCTGAAATGGAGTTTTTGGAAGCAGCACGAGAGAAGAGTGCAGTGCCCGCGGCCTGCCCCTGATGCCCCCAGCCCTGCAAGTAAAGCACCCCCGCCTGCTCCCCCGGGGCGAGCAGGGAGATCCCGGCCGATTCCCCGGCGTGTCGCACTCTGAAAGCGACAGGCAGGTACGGAACGGCGTGAGGCCAGGTCAGGAGCCTTTGGAAACAGCAGCGCCTGTCTGCCTTACTGAACGCAAGGTGCGTAACGTCACTTTTGGGTAGGAAAAGGTTCCAGCCTAGCCCGTCCTTAAATTTTAATAGCGAAAGATCAGCTGAGTAAAGTAGAAAGGTTTTATTTAACAACAGTGTTGGAAGTACAAAAAAAGAAAGCATCCTTCCCGGTTTCTCGTCACAGAATGTAACAGCAGCCCAAGCTTAGGGAACTGCTGTCTTTCTTAAGTCTTATTTTCTACAATTAAAAGCAAAATATTTTTCCAGAAGTATTTTGTAACTTGACAGACGAATGAATAAACATGCACACACTCATTTCTCTTGCCTAGGGGACGGGGAAAGAAAAATCTTCAGTAGTGCAAACAAAATTTACAGTAGAATTCTAACAGCATTGCTAACATTGACTGTGTATTTTTTTAGCACGCCTTTACTCTGATCTGGGCAGGGCGGGGTTCAGTCCCACCTTACTCGAGGGGGGCGACACAAAGGCTCCACCTGAGATGGACAAATGCCGCTGCGCGTGGCGGGGCCCCACCTCCCCCCTTGGTTTCGTTGCTGTGGGCACGGAGCGGCGAGGCGCAGGGGGACAGAGCGGCGCCGGGGTCCCCCTCTGCCGCCAGCCCCCGCAGCAAGTGGTGGGAGCGCAGAACCGCGGGGGACGGTGTGCCACGCGCCCGAAGAGACCCCAGGGACACCCGCCTCGAGGGGCCACTCCACGAGGGGACGTGGGGTAGGGGCGCCCCGCGCAGCAGGCAGGGAGGAGAGGCTTTCGGTGGAGCGGCGCTGGGTGCGAGAGGAGCTGAGCCATCAAGCCAAAAGAGACCAAAGCCTGCCCGGGCAGCCCCCCTACCCCTAACAGAAGAGGGGGGGTGGCAGGGGGAGAACCTGTGCAACATCTAACAGCACTAGAGACTAAAACTGGGAGTGGGTGAGAGCGCAGCAACATGTACTTAAATCCAAGCTGCTCCAGCTGAAGATCTTCCTCCATAACCCCCACACACACACACCTTTTTTTCTTTTTTATTTTTTTTTTTTTGTCCCAGAATTTTATGCAGCGGCTACTTCCAGCAGCGAGCAGTCCTCTGAGCAGGGACTGAATCAGTCGGCAGCCGAGCGCCCCAACTCCTGCCCCGCAGGTGCAGACGCTGCTGCTGGTGGCACCTCTCTTCCTCCCCCTTCCCGGGCAGCTCTGCTCCCACCTCTGGCCGCACCACAGAGTGCCCAGTGCTGGACCTGCCCTGGCCCCAGCTCCACAATTATCAGGTCAGAAACTGATTTTGACAAACTTTGTACCCCAAGCATTAGGTTTTCACATTTACTTGCCGGAACTGCAGCTGAGGGAGATTAATGCCGCCTCTGATCTGCCTAGTTTGGCAAACTCGTGCCCTTGGCACAGCAGCGGGGAGAAGGAACCGGCCGCGAGGCAGCGAGTGGGGCGGCTGCGGGCCTGGGGGAGCCGGGTCGGGGCCAGCAGGCTGCATGTGCACTGAGCCCGACACCCCTCCTAATTATTCTGGGCAGTTCCCCCTGCCAGCCCCGTTCCGGCGGCCCCCCCAGAGCCGTGTAGGTGCTTCTGGCCCCACGGCTGCGAACTGCTGAGGGCAGCCGTGCCCCTCGGACTGGAAAGCCTACGCCTCAAGCGGGTCTATTTTAACTGACGAACGCCGTTGCTGCTGAGGCACAGGATGCGTCTGTTTAGTTTCGCCTTCCTTCCATAAATGAGTTTCCAGGGACTTGACGTCAGCCGTGTCATCCTCTGCTGGCTCCCCTGGGAAGCCTGGCAGCCACCTTGAGCCTCCACCCATTAGCTCAGCCCGCACAAACTGCAACCTCCTCACGTATTTTAGCTGGGAGCACACCCCTGCCGCCGCCAGCGCCAGCTCTGCTTTGCGGCCGCTTCACACACACACACACACACACACACGGGTGGATCCCCAGCAAAGCAGGGGGCTATATAAAACCTCAGTTGCTTCATCAGGTTTCCACCGAAACGCGACTCTCCAGCGGGAACTGTTCTTCGGTCCGAGCAGTAACGCAGCAGCAAGCTGCTGCTGTGCCCGACCTGAAGGTAACAGGAGTTTCCCTTCCATTGGCCTCATGTTTCAGAATCCCACCCTCCATCACCAGCTACCTAAACACTTCAAATTATCACATTAAAACTTCCCAAATGCCAGCATTCTACTTCATGATTAATCATAAATATACCATAGGTCATACTATGATTTTTGAATTAAAGATATCAGTGATACTCCCATTAAAAAAAACAAGTGTTCAGGGGTGTCCAGGTATGTTTGGCCACAGGCTCACTCGCTTGCTTTAGACTTCAATGCAGCTGCATGTAAAACCAAACACATCACCCTTCTTGTTTCTGAAAACAAGGTCACACTGCAGGTAAAAAAAATAACTAAAGTGTCTGAGGGAAAATCATCTTGCATCTCTCACAACCTAGGGTTCAATGAGAAAAGCAAAAATAACTGTTACTGCTGACTTTTTGTAGGATACCCGATAGAAGAAGAAACCATCACAGAGGCTCCTTTATGCTCACGCTCTGCACTGTCACATCCGTCTGCTTAAAGTAGACAAAGGATTTTACTTTCGTTTACTGGGAAACAAGCTAAGTGATCTCTCACAATATGTGTGAAACCAAAACAAAACGAAACAAACCAAACCATAAGGAAGGCAAAACCCTACAAAACTGGCACCATGCCAATAAAACGACTTCCACATCCAAGTGCTAACTGTACCTGAACCGTACCCGTACACGAGCCCCCCAGCAGGCTCGCAGTTTGCACGGTGGTTAACGCAGTACGTGCCTCTCTCTGAGCGCCCAGTCCAAGGGCTCCCAGGCCCTTGGAGCGCCCAACTCTCCTGGCCTCTGCAAAACCACGAAACCTCCTCCTGAGGCCTCCCACACCTTCGCTCTCCTGAGCCGGCGGCTGGCTGCCGATGCAGCGGCAGCGAGGCTGTAGCAGGAGGGCAGGCGCGGCGGCGTGCGCCCCGGGAGCTCAGCCTCCTCCCGACCACCGGTGCTGCCGACTCGGGGGTTTACTTCCCTCCTTTCAGCAAGGTATTTCAGGTAGCTGCATAAAACTGGAACCAAACCCCTCCTTCTCAAAAGCACCCTGTACTGTTGTTACAAAAAAAGCTTTCAAATCCTGTCAAAATGGCATAGATGTAGGCTTATCAGCACAGAAAATACTTTTTGCAGGCCGTATCTGCTCTCTTCCCCTCTACCTGGCAGCACAAAATCTCTCTGACCCTCTCTGCTCGCAGGGCGGCAGCGCCGGCACACCTCCCCGTGCCGAGCGAGCCCGTGCCCACGGGACGGGCTCCAGCTACAGCCACTTTCCTGCCAGCCGGGTGCTGGTGGCAAAACCAGCAGTGCCGGCACAAGATAAGCCACAGCCGAGGCCTGGGGCAAAGCAGGGCCTTCCCCTCCAGAGGCAGCCTACCTCTGTTTTCAGTTTAAATGGCCACGGAGCCATTTTCCTGCAGGACACACCGATTCTCCTCACAGCAGCTCAGAGCAGCCACAGAAACTGGTTTCCAGTGGGCGGATTCAAGGCACAGGCACTAACATGGGAGCTGTCTGAAGGGAGACTTCCAGGCAACCCTTCCCTAACTACATGTGACAAGTGTAACTTCAAATAAAAAAAAAAAAAAAAAAAAAAAAAAAAAAAAAAAAAAAAAAGGAGAAACATCAAAGCCTTCCATAAACTCATGCTGCGCTGGAAGGGTGGCAATTATGCCATTCTTAACTCTGAGGCTATTTGCAAGGGAAAGGATCAGGGGACTTGGAAAGGCTGCTTGAGTGGAAGAGGTTTATCTTGTTCCATTCAGAGGAAAGGATTACAGGCATAAAACTGTCTGTCACCTTGGAGGAGCTGGAGAGTTGAGGTTTTGCCTCCAAAGCCTTGGGGATGCAGGAAGGAAGCTATTTTGTTCAGATTAAAGCCAGATGCAGCCTCCTGAGAGAGGCTATCCTCTCAAATTAGTGGATATTGTAAGACATTTGTCTCTACTGTCGTTAGCCCTGCACTGACTAGGTGCAAATGAGATGAGAATCAGGAGAAACGTGTATTAGAAATATCACCTGGGTATTTCAAGTTATTCCTATTCTTCTAATTTACATTTCCCTGGATGTTTCACACTGCGCATTAGTGATTCACAATGATGTACATTTACACACAGCAGGAGAAAAATTAATGAGTTCCATCACTTCCCTTATTTGGAAGGCTTCATGCTTGAGATACAGCTCCCTCGTTTTATTACGCCTTTTGATCTCCACAGAGTGATCTGTTTTCCCCCTGGCAGAACTGTATAATTCTTGGTAATTTAATATGAATTACATTTATGCACTTTGGGCAGAATAAGCCTCATCGTTTGTTACTTCTCACACACTCTTAAACCCAGGGTGGGCCAAATTCCACCTGCCTGTCCCCCGCAGGGAGGTGTGCACGTAGCACGACGAGTGTGAAAGGCTGAGGTAGTGCACGGCACACAAACATGCAGCAACCAAACAAGAGGTTCGTGACAGGGAAATGGGCAGGAAGAGCTTCCGAGCCTTCCCTCCCGCACGAGGCATCACTTACTGCATCGCACAGCCTGTGCTAGGCAGGAAATCATGTAAATAAATAATGATGGCTTTTGTTAGGTACGTCATGGTGCCATAGGCCCCGCTTGGAGCACTGTCATAAAAAAAGTGGCAAATTCCTGTGGCTACGTCTTTCTCCAAGACACTACCAGTAGCTCCAAATGATTTCTGAAAAGACACAAGCAAAGGAGGAGGGAAAGTTAGGCGTGGATGCTTACTTACTGGAAAAAACCTGCCACATGATTTTGCATTTGTGCTGAATACTGAAAGCAATTCTCCTTTCCCTCATGAAAACCTTAATGAGGATTATTATAAGACCCACACGACTTCGTTGGATCAATGTAAGTAAATGAGGAACATAAAACTTCACAGATTTCTGTCCTTTGGGTGGGGCGGGTGGGAGTACTCAAATATTGGTAATTCTAATGCCTTAGAAAAGCAAAAATTCACTTCAATCTACCCACTTACTTCAGAGCTTCTTAGCCACTGTACTTTTATTCCCTTTAAATCCACCCCAATTCTTACTGTTTTCCAACTCTATTTCCAGAAGACACTTAAGCGATTTGGTCTTTCTTCGTAGGGGAAAGAGTAAGGCTAAGATCAAGCTCATTGTGCACATACAAAAGGAGCAGGGGACAATTTTCAGACGCGGAGGCTTCCCACCACTGCCTGCTTAACTCACCAGCTCCTGCAGAAACAGGTCGTTGGCCATGTGCACGATTCGATCCACATGGATGATGCCCCCGATGCTGTTCACCTCGATGTCAGAGAGGAACGTGAGAACGAGAATAGCTTCCACCAAGAGCTGCCTGTACTCAGGCTGGGGTACATGGTTCAGCACCGACTCCACGTGCACAGCAAACTTGATTTCACACGGGGTCATCTGGCAAGTTTGAGTGGAAACGGGAAGAAAAACTGACAAACCCAAAAGGCTAGCTCCCCACATCCTGCAAGCACTTAACCATATGCTCCTCTCGGCACATGGGGGTAGGCTGACAAGCAAACAAAATGTTTGTGCAGCTTTAGCGCTTACAGAAACTTTTTCTGTTGCTAGGCCCGGATCCTGCAAACACTTAGGCAACTTCCAGAAGAGTGCTCCAGCCCTGCAAGCCATCACACACGGGTGTTAGTTATGTACAGGAACTGCTGATGCTTGGCTGGCAAATTAACTCTTTGCTCCTCACTCTGCCTTGTAAGTATCTTTCTGGCACTTCAGGTTAGTTGCAAAGCCAAAATGACTGTTCGAGTTTTAAAAATAACCACCTGCTCAGAGTGAATGCTTTTCCCCCACAGAGATATACCTATAGTGTTTGTAGAGCAGCCTAATTTGCACTGACACAGCTCTGTGGATGTTACGTGAAAGGCTGCTGCCTTAGGAGGTTTGTACTTATTTCACTTGATTCCTTTAAACAGCAAAATTAGATACTGTCTAGGTCTGACAAGCTAAAAATATAAACCTACTTATCTACACAATAGGAATAAATAAAGCTGTCCATTCTGAAAAAAAAAACAAACCCCCACGTTTAGATTTGGCATAAAATTTCAGCTCGTCTCTTCAGCTGTTACCAACATCCCTCAGAAGAGGGGGAAGCCAGAGACAAATCTGAGGGAAGCAGACAGGAAAACAATCTCAGGCACACAAGCACCTCTCTTGCACTGATGGATTACTGTTCACAAGAGTTTGTTTTATAGATGTGAATTCAAAACTTGCCAGAGCACTTAAAGACAAAGTGGCAATCCAGCTAAGGCAAAAAAAATGTAAGGAAAGGTTATGGATTTAAAGAGTCAAAGCTTTGGTTAGAAACAATCAGCCTTAATTGGTAGTTTAGAGACTGCGGTGCCAAGACACACTCACTGCTGTTGCAGTGTATTAATAAAAAAAAAAAAAAAAAGAAAAGTGGCAAGAGACATGTCTGCTTCCTTCCAACAAGGCTGCTTTCTCCTCAGCCTGCCCAGAGGACTGCCAACAGCCAGGGCCGCGGGGCCGCTCCCAGGGCTGCCTGCCGGGGACTCGCCTGCGCCGCCCCGGGGAAGCTGGAGCAGGTGCTGGGGGAAGGTCCAGATCTTCCAGCCTTCATAAAACCAAGGGTCTGCAACAGCAGCCCCGCTGCACCCTACCCTTTCAAACCAAACATTCGGCCGTGGGGGTAGAAAATCATGGGCGATTTACTGTACCTCTCTGGTGGTTGAAGAAGGAAGGACGTACCCATCAATGGACAGACCATGGCACTGAAACAACAACGTTTTGACAATGAACAGAAATTAGTCTTGCAAGCAAATCTGAGGGTTCTCTGTTCTAAGCCAATATGTGACAACTTTCAAACAAAAAGCCCCCAAACAAAACCAACAAAACCTGTTAAAAATATTATTCGAGCTTTGCTGAAGAAGTTATTACGTAACCTGGCAAACGTTAGAAATAGCCTGACATGACACGTAGAGAGCACGCTGTGTTCCAACCCAGCTACTGAAGGGGAGAAAAGTACTTAGAGAGCCACTACAGCAAGGGGCACACAAAGGAGGGAAACAAATCAATGCAATCTTTCTGTGGGAAAGGATGTACAAATAAAAGATAATGCAAAAGCATGTCAACAGACCACAGAAGTAAGCAGCTTTGTTTTCCCTTTTCGCTGAGACAACATCTAGTTAAGTGTTTCAGACCCAGGGCACCATAACTCAAGGATGTCAACATGCTGTGGTTCCTGGACATGGACCACCAACATCTGGGGAGAAGTGGTGTTAGAAATACCAAGTGGTATACAAAGAAAGAATGACAAACTAAATGGTGAGAAAGCAGGCTAAAGAACAACACATCTGGGTACCTGAGGTACAAAAACGCATCAAGAAGAGAGAGATTTTATGAACAGTCCAACGAGAGTTTAAGAATTAAATACTGAAGACAACTTAAATAAGCACAATTGATTTCAATAGCCAGAAAACCCATTCAAATACTCCCAGCTGTTACATTAAGTCAGGACAGAAGCGACGCTCACTCTACTGAAAGATCCCATTCCTAAACAGCCACGAGGTCATATATGACTCATCTTGGCTGACATCAACACTAACACCTTCAGCATAAGCGATTTTAGGACGACCAGAATCAATCTAAGCTGGCAATGCACATTTTTCCCAACTGTGTAGGCATGAACAGCTCAGTGCTGCAAGGTGCTGAATGCTGGCTTTCATCCAGCAAAGCAGAAGCACAGGTGCATAATCACCTTGAAATGAGTAAAAATTCCTAATTCCCCTCTCCTCCTTCCTGGAGTGCTGCTTCAACACATTTCCATACCCCTGATCTCCAAGGTGCTGGCAAGGACTTACTTTTCACTTAAAAACAAACAAAAAAACTGTTAAGAATGCCATACAGCTCAGAAGAGCCAGCAAGATGTCAGGACATTTTGGAAGAGTGAGTGCAGTTTCCTACTTCATGCCTCGCAGCCTTTCTGAACTGGGACCCACGAACAACACTGCCTGGCAGGGCCCCTCAGCAGCACTGACCACAGCTCCTGTCAGGCCACGGGCGATGCCAAGCAGACAGTGGTGCAAGAGAACCATCCACCCGAAATTCAGTGCTGCTGGTTTCAGAGGAAAATATGCTTTCCAACACACACACGAACTTGTGTTAAAGAAGCCCTTTTATGTCCAAGAGACACACTCCTACTAATGACTCTGGCCTTCACCAGTCTTCCAGCTAAAGACCAACTTCAACTCCCGGCAGCAGGCCACCTCCAGGCCGCCATTTCCCCACGTTACCACACAGCTGGCTTGCTTCCTACCCTCCACAGCTCTCAACTTACCTTCTGAAGGATTTTCCACACTTTCTCGTAAAAGCCAACAGGAACTCTGTTAATAGCACCATCAAGCCTCCTTCTGCGCAGCCACTGCCCTTTGCGGTCACCCCAGCTGGTGTCTCCACTGGAACCAGTAGGAGAAGTACTAGTGGGAGACGATGGAGTACTGCCCCTCTGTAAGAAACATTTGAAGCCTTGGTTAGTTGCTTCCTACCACCCCAAGTGCTACTCCTGGTGAATACATCATTCTGTTACCTCAGAAACAGGGAAAAAATACAGGCCATGATGTCATACAAGATGACAGAGCAGGATTGATCCCCTTCTCTCCCCTTCACAACAAGCTTCACTCCTCCAGCACTTCAGTCATTTCTCAACAAAACAGGCAAGCAGTTCAACAAGGCATAACCAAGTAAACTTCACTGCTTGGTTCAACACAAGGCACGACTATTTTAACAAGCATGAGTCGGCTGGCAGGGTGGTGTCACTGGTGAGCAAGGTGGTGGGATTTGCAGGTGGGTCTGACTCGGACTTCAGGCTCTGTGTCTTAAGAGAATCAAAGGGTCTGTGAGTCCAGCAAGAGAGATCCTCTATGAAAAAGCTCCATTAAAACAAGTAGATAAAAAATTGATTTAATGTGGCCATGTAATCATCATGCCTGCCTCTCTGTATCAGTCTTGTTTCCTTTATTGTCACTATCACCCTATTCTTTTACTCTACCAGACTTGAAGACTAAATTAGGCAGCAAATCATCTTCAGAGTCATGGCACTACCACCAAATTCTTGTTCCTGTTTCCACACATGCAGTCTGCCTACTCTTCGCACTCCCTGAGTCTGTGTGCTCTTCTGTTTCCTTGTTCCTTTTGGCACACCTCTTACTTTCGGCCCAGAAAGGACTACGCTGACAGCCCCCTCTCAAATCCCATCACCTCTGAGTACCAAACCGCCTGAGCAAAGTACTGTGAAAGGAGGAAAATAAGACCAAAAACCTGTATGTTTGCAAATGTAGGCTCACTGTTTTTACACAGCCAAGCTCTACAAAAATACCAGCAAACAAGAACAGTTCATTTCCACTCCTACTGGTGTCAGTGAGGCATAGGTGGTGTTCCCTTGATGTTTTAATGCTTGCTATTCCCTTTCCATGCTCACTGACCAAGACAGAACTTCCTCAACCCTGCTGAGCAGAGCTAGGGGATGCAGGAGATCAGCAAGAGGGTCAGGGACAAAGTAGAGAACTCCATCTGCACACAGTAATTAATTTGGCTACTCATGTGGTTCAGAGAAGCAAAGATCTCATTGAACAATTCTGTGCACTTGAACCAAACACACAGCTGAAGCCTGCTTTTCTGCACCAGAATGTGGGAAGAGACAGTCAACAGCAACCTGGCAGTTGTCAGGCCAGGCCACAGGGCTCGTGGTGCTCTGCAGTTGCGTATTTAGGACACCTGGGAAGTGTGCCATCGACAGCAAGTCTGCAGACGCAGAGAATCACAACCGCCAGCTGTGGACGCGTAGCTGCAAACTGCAAACTCTCCATGTCTTCATGACAGATTTGGAGCCTTGGACTTACTTTAAATTGTTGAGGTTTCTGCTGGTAAAATAAAAAATTATTTTCATTCTTAACAGTGAGACATTAAGAACAGCTACAGTCCTCTGTCTTGAAAGATGACTGCCTGAGGAGATTCCCATGCCCATAAACCCCCTGTGTCAGCAACGTGAAGCTCTTCTGGGTTTGTTACTGTCCAGGGACTGCCAGCGCTTATCAACGCTATCTGACTTCTAAATTCTGATGACACCTGTAACTTAATCCACCATCAAGTAGTTAAATCTGCTATGGTGCTTTATTTGCTACAACTGCTTAAGCTTCACAAGAACTAAGTGGATCTAAATGAGACACTCAACTTCTATGAAAAGATCACTAATGAGAATTTGTTGCCAATGAAGATGAACAAGACAAAGACGTAGGGACTGTAAACAAGATTTTACTCAGAAGTCACAGGAGGTATCTAGAGCTAAGACCCTTGCACACACACACAGGGTGAAGAGCAGGTGCAGAGCTCCAAGTGTTATTTTACCATGGAAGCAAACATGCCGCTGGACATGGAGGTGCCCTCATGAAAGAACTACAAAACAAAAACAGACACCAACACATCAGACAGACAGCCATGACAGAACAGAATGCAAACAAGGTTAAACAATCCATCCATGCAAAGACAAGAAACATGGAATAAGCTTGGGTACTCAGGAGAAAACTGCAACAGCCTCTTACAGTGCTGCACTTCACCTGTCCTTGGGGCTGCTGCTGCTGCTTCCCAGGGTCACCATGAGGCAGACCCTGCCGTGCCAGGAGCCTTTTTGGTAACCATGACTGCCCACACCATCCACTGAGCTCCAAGCACGGCCAACACAAACCGTCAGTTTCAGATGCACGCAAATGCCTCCCTGTGAGTCAGGGCTGGAAAAAAACCCCAAGCTCCCCACTTCCATTCTGCATTCGCTGCAATGTCAGCAGCTTCTCTTTGCATGAGAAGGTCATCTTGCTGCAGAAAGTATGCAGGCTGCCGACTGGGTGGGCAGCGCTGAACAGCTGCAAGGGAAAATTCTTGCTGGAATGTGGATGCAGCACGTCAGACTCTTTTCTGTAACTGTCCACCCCAAGCCAGGCCTCCTAATTAAGTATTAATGGTTCGGACCCAGGCAAAGGCTTGATGCTCAGATTCAGGAAACAAGGGCAGCAAACAGGAGAGCTGCATTCACTCAACACCTGAGTTCTGGTGAAAAGAGGTGTTAGTATAAGTACTTGAAATGTTCCTTGTAACACGAAGTTGCTTCCCCCCCCCCACCAAAATGACATTAAATTAGTATCTAGTGAATTATTCAGGAGATGCAGAGACACGTGTCAGGAAGCAGCATGAATGGCGAGGTGAGCGCAGCAAAAATAAAACTAGCCAACTCCTCCTCTGTGAGAAATACCACGTTTCCATCTAATGCAAAAGCAACTCAGGAACTACATTTCCAACCTCAGCAAAGTGCTAAGTGTTTCAGCTCAGGCCTACTTCTGTATTTAAAACAAAATAATGCTGCCACCTGGTGCCTAGTCCCACTGCCTTCCTGGAAAGGCCCTGCCTGAGGTCAAACACCCACTACAGGACTGCGAGCCCTGCTCAGACTGAACCCCCAGTCACTGCAGGGCCGCTGGAAAGCAGCTCGCAGCACCCCCACAGCCACAGCCGTACCACGAGGCTCGGCCACGACGATGCTCAGGCAGTTTGATGCCCATGGCTCACTCATGGCAACCAGGTCTCGCGAGACAGACACCATGTGTTTCACAGGTGCCTTTGCTTCCCTGCCTGGTCGTGTCTTATGAAGATTCATTAACTGATCTTTATTGTCACCATCAAGCGCTCCATGTCAAGACCATGCAGAAATGCCACTCCCTTCTGAAGGCTTACTGAGCAAATCTGTTTTGTACAATCAAAGGAAAACATCAAATACTTTCTTAGAAATTTAGAGAAATGGCCGCAGATTAAAGGGAACAGGCTTGCTTGTTAAGAAGCTCTTCAAAAAATAGCTTTCAAATATAGAACCATTTGCACTGTAAGTGACCTTTAAAGATCATCTAGTCCATTCCACAGGCAGGGACACCTCCCACCAGACCAGGTTGCTCAAAGACCCGTCCAGCCTGGCCTTGAACCCTTCCAGGGAGGGGGCAGCCACAGCTGCTCTGGGAAACCTGTGCCAGCGCCTCATCACCCTCACAGTAAAGAATTCCTTCATTATATATAACCTAAACCTTCCCACTTTCAGTTTAAAATAATTGCCCCTTGTCCTGTCACTACAGACCTTGGTAAAAAGCATCTCTTCATCTTTCTTATAAGCCCCATTTATATATTAAAAGGCTGCAATAACATCTCCCCAGAACTTTCTCTTCTCCAGGCTAAATAGCCCAGGCTGAAAAATATAGAACCATTCTTATAAATGCATTTTATTAGACTACTACTTTCCAATTTATCTTGAACAAAAGAAAATTACTAATAGAGACACAAAACAGAGAAATTAAAAACACTCATAACAAAACCATCAGTCACATTCATTCAGAATATTTTGGTTGTGTTTTCTGTGATATCTCTCCATATACACAGTTGCTGTGTACATTAGCGTACTGAACTTAAAATACATAGATAGAGATATATTCTAGTAGTAATCATCCTCCATTCCTGAAGAAACAAAACAGGAAGAAAACAAACCAATATTTCTTTTCCAAGGGTATCTTTTCCAAAAGGCATTTGGACCACTTTAGCCACTTGAGCTGAGTACAAGAATGAACACTGTTTGCACGAAAGCTTCACTTTGTACATCTGACTTTTCCTTAGCTAAACATGATAAAAGAGCTGTTTCGAAGTTGATGCCACAAATGCATTAGAGTTTGTTCAAGTTCTTCTATATTCAGCATGTGGTACAAGAACAAAAAAGGGGCACATTTTTGGAGGAAACATCCCCTTACTGCCTTCTACTTAGTGATCAGCTTTAAATCAAAGGATCTTTGGAAACTTCTGTCATTTACCAAGAATAAAACCTAACATAACACAGTTCCAGAACAGCTGCATTTTCTGATGAGCATTGATAGAAAACCCTCACCTGCTTCATCTCACTCTTCAATTTAGTAATACCACTTCTTTCTGTTTTGGTTGCTCCAGAATGCCCCATTTCATGAATAGAAATCGCAGGGCTAGATGAAGAGGAATCTACAGGTCGCACTAAAAGAAACAAATATACATTTTTAAAATTCTAGGGGTAGAAAATCAGATGAAATTGTATCTAAAAGTTAAACACATATCCTTTCAGAGGTGTACAATGCTCTTGGTGACAGCACCCTTTCAAATCACATCAATAGTTCAAACCTGACTGCATCAGGTAACGCACCTAGATTCATACTTGGCTATCAGGGCTTGATTTTCCAAGACACTGAGAAATCGTAGCTCTAAAAGATGTTAGAGTTGCAAGGAGTCTGTGAGCACTTAAGAATGAACCCAGGAGAAAGCTGACATGCCTGTTGGGAATATCTGGGCATCACAGACATGCTCCTTGAAGTCAGGTTAGATATGACCTTCTTATGGTGTTCATTCTGGTCACAGAATTTTTTCAGTTTAAAAGTTTGCCTTCATATAACTGAAAATTTGATACAATTTTATTTCAGTGCACAACAGCTTCCATTACATTTGTTTTGTTTATTCCACAGCAGACATAAACATGTAATGGCCACCCATGATTAATACATCCCCTATACCTCTATTTTACGTGCCAAGAGAGTAGAATCCTGCTTACAAGACAACCCAACTTAATATTTCTCACTTAACATATAACAGTACCCAAGCGCACAACTTACAGCTTCTTTCCACTCCAAACTCTTTTCCACTGAGAATATGGTGTAGGAGATTTTTCATATCAAAGGGGCTCAGATTCATCAAACTCTCTGAAGCTTCTTCACCTAGTTAAAAAAGAACATAAAAAAAAAAAAAAGATAAACATCACTACAGGTGGCTTTATAGCTTGTTTTCCTAAGCAAACTGCTGATGAATGAAGTTCAGTCACATTTACCTTTGTGGCTAACATTTCCTTTTAAAAAAAATAGTACATAGAGACACATTTCAAAGAAAATACATTTCAGAACTAAACTGCGAACACTGCATGGAAGTAGCACTATTCACATTAGTGAATATTATGCTGCAGCCTGTGCAAAATCTCGCTGAAGATGATGATGAGAAAGGAGCTGCTCCTTTGTAGAGCAGGATCACTTGGAAAGGCATTACAGCCATCTCCCAACATCAGAGGACATGTAGATCTAAATAACAGCGCCAGAGTTATTCCATAAAGAAATGCATTCATGCAGAACGCTTCTGTTTTATTTGATTAAAGGATCATGCTTGTAAGTGTGAGAGAAAAAGCACATACATACACACGAGCACACGTGTGCACAGACAAATCTCCCATAGGATAACATGGAAAAGGCAGCAATGAAACTGAGGGAAGTGTACAAAGCAGATGGCATTTAAGGCTAAGGAATAACAAAAGGGACCCCAGGAAAGACAGGCTTTGCCCTGTGAACAAAGCAGCTTCTACTATTGAGCTACATGTCTGGGGCAAACAGGGCTTTCTGTATACTCTCTGTACAGAAACAGAAATATCCCAGAAAACCACTTGGCTCCTTTTGTCAGCTTCTCCTAAGGGAGAAACCTTGAGCTAGTCACTCAAGTTAGAGAGCAGCAGTGTCCAAAGTGGGCTGCATCTAACCAACTACCAGGGACTCCCTCTTTACTCCGTGAGGGAGAAAACTGGGGAGACCAGAAAGTATGTTTCCACAAAGTTACTTCCCTTTAGGATGTACTAGAGCATTAGAAACAGTAACAAGACCTGAGCCATAAAAGTATGTCCAAGGGCACATTCCTAAGTGTCAGCATTTGACTATGTATTTGTCACATTAGCTTGCTTACTTTTCATGACTGCTCCTTCTTAGACTTCTGACCCCTTTCAATGAGGAAAATCCTTCAGTGACTTTTCAGATCTTTTTTCAGTCATGATTTCTCTCTAGTTTCACTTTTCTCCTCCAAAATTAGTTTAAAAATATTTTTGCCTTGCACCACTTGTTTGTTACTTACTTCTTCAGTTTTTGTAGGTCATATGCAACATCTTGGGGGCCTGTAAGAATTTTTTTTCACTGACCTCCTGGCAAAATAACATATCACTACCTGAAATCTAAACAGCAAATATTTTTCAACTAAGTACATACAAGGGCAGAAGACAAGTTACACATAAAAGGAAGAAAATGAGAAGTTACTTTGAATAAAAACTACCAGAACTATGAATTAGGGCTCAAATATTCAAAAGATACATAGGGTCCTAATTCTCATTGACATTAGTGGCATTGTGTCCCTAAATATACCACACGTGCAATTTGATGACCCGGACCTCAAACACTTACTGAAAGTCAGGGGACTTAAGTATTTAATATCTACTTCAGTTTGAATAACTGGGGATGGGGGGACAGCAATCTTTCATTAAGTCAAAAAGAAAAGTTATTTTCAAAGTTTGTAACTGTGCATGCTGAATGAAGAAGTTAATAAAAGGATTTAACACATATAAATGAACCGGTACGGTGAAGCAGAAGTAATGCCAAGTACCCTTACGATAAAATTGCTCTTACCTGAGCATTTCAGACTTCGAGCCAGCTCAGTGGCCATCACCTGAATTATCAGACCAATGCGGAGCCTGAGCATCTCCAGAAAAAGACTAGGCTGTGACCGGACATACATCGCCAAGTACATAATAATTTCCTGTAAGGACAAATCCATAAGGGCACCCATTCAGAGTGGGTCTTCTTGGCTTCCCCAGTCACAGAGCAAACACTGGTGCCACACTGGGAACTGCTGAAAACCCTTTTTACACACGCTGCATACCTGTGTCAGGACCGCAATACTGATGTCTTGGCCGCTGGCTTCATAAATCAGATCTGTGAGCTCCTCAGGTGGCAGCGGGCTGCAAGAAGGCAAACCACAGTTAGCAGTGATGCAGGAACCTGTTATTAACCTCTTGACCAACCACTGGAACCAAGTCACCTAGAAACATTTTTGCACCACAAAGGTGCCTGCGATTCTGACCGGGTGGCTGCAACTCCTTCTGAAGGTGAGGAAGAAGTTTTAAAACAAGACACTAGCAGCAGAATGGTACTTTCATGAAGATGAAGGGCAGGCTGCTTCTGTAATTGAGGTAGAGCTCCGACTTACGTGGTAATGACTTTCTCACGGGGTTCTGGTGGCAGGCCCACTGTAAGTTGCTTGTGGTGCGACAGAAGGTCTGTGCATGCCTATCATAATGTGACAGAAAGCAAGAGACCTTTCTCTGAGTCATGTGAAAGTGATAGTTTTTAATTCCCCAAAATGAAGCATTTCTTTAGCAATTTTTAAGTGCATTTCTATTAATTACTAGACATCCAAATCCAGCAGAATGCTGCTAACTAGTTGCTAAAGATCCCCTGAGGTCAACAGGGCTACAAAAGTCTGCCCAGGCTGAAAGCCTGCTTCCCGCTCAGTGTAATCAGCAGCATAATGATTAGGGACTCCAGTGGGGATGGCAGATCAATAAAGGACTTTATCCTTTATCGTAAGATAAATGTTTATTCTTTATTTAAGACAAAAAACATTTTTAATCAATGAAAAACTTGGCAGTATTGGCTAAAAAAAAATCCTGCGTACTAATATATCTCTTAAAACAAGCAAAACCCAAGCACATTGCATCACATTCCTGAATTTGGCACCCTAACACATTCTGAAATAGGTGCTTCCCTCAGTCCCACAGTATTTACTCTTTAATATCAACCTTCTTTAAAAGTGGGTGTTCAGGTTACCTGGTTTTGCATGCTGAATGGAAGACCTCACAGAGCAATGTTCCTCTGATTTTGAAGAGTTTATTTTCCCATCCTTAACGTGGAACAAAACAGATCATCTCTGCACCCTTCCTCCCCAATTCTTTGCCAGTATTCTCTCAATTTAACACACACAGCTTTCTGTGAGCATGTCTGTACTGCTCGTCCATCATGTGTTGAGGATGGAGAAGGTTATGCGCTTAATAATGAAGTACCATGCAGGGTGATTATCGCAAATTGCTCCCCACAGATATGACTGTCACTAAAATAGTGCACCATAGGTGTGACAGTCAGAGCTCTGAAAGTGGCCATGAATTAGACAAAGAGCTCTTCAGAAATATGTAGGGATAAGTAGGGAATTAAACAAATACTTTAGAGTACTTGAGAGGAAACATTTTTGTAATGTTCAAAACCAAACCTGTACCCTTGCAGTGGATCTTTGCTGTTACCATTTAATAGTCCCAGGTATTTTAATGCCTCTGAACATCCACATCCATGGCAGACTGTCTGCTCAATAAGACAGAAATTGGCAGAACGTGTTTCTGCATCACAACTAGCACCTTGACATCGTGGTGCTCCAAATCACAATAGCAATAGACAATAACCACCAACAACTACAGGTTTCAAAGCACATAATTACACTTCTCCAATTAGCAGAGATGAAATGAAGCCTTCACAATCATTTACAGTGTGACATTCTCAGTCCATACCAACATTAGCACAGTTCGCAGTACAGATGAAAGGTAAAGATTTTGTAATAAGATTTTAGATCAGAAAAGCAACTGTTTACTGGAAAAATGCTGCACTATGCATGTTGTAAAGACCAGAAGAAGGGCAATCGCAAGTCCCACCAGCAAGCTGGTAGTTTTAGCTTTTTCCAGGCAGGAAACTGAACCAGCATTATTTATATTTTTTACCTCAGCCAGGACTTCCACTCTCTTTTTGAGTATACCAGAAATATAACGGATTAAGCCCCATTCTTGATTGAGGCCTGCCTTTCTGTAGAGCTCGTTGAGTAGGCAATGAACCGTGACGCCGTACTGTCCATCCAGCTCTGTGTCCCAGTCAGCGCCTCTGCCAGAAAAGACACAGAAGGTAACTGTCATCAGACAAAATGCTACACTGCTTAACCTTACCACACAACGAGCAGCCTGATTTTCATCACATTGCTCATTTTGGTGACAGAATCAAGGAAGACGTGAGACATGCGGGCCTTTACCAGAGATCAGTGAAAGGTGGACAGAACCCTCTTGGTATCAGGAACTTTCATCTTAACTTCAGCACTCACTTAGCCATGAGCCTGTGAGTTGAAAGCAAGCGCCCAAAGGATTTCCCACCAGACTAAATTGAGCATGCACACGGACAGTTTGCAGGAGGAATGCTCCATGTAGTGCTTTTTCAGAGCAGAATTCAGCAATGTCCTCAGTACTGTGGAAGACTGCACCCATTTTTCAGATGACTCAGGGGACTCTTAACGTTTTTGTCCTGCCTCTTTCTTAGCTATTAATTAAGCTTCCATGCTGCTTATACCATTACTGAAAAAGCTAAGGAGATTTCTGTTCTTCTTCTGGTTTTGAAATGCACTGCATTATGGCTTCTCTTTCATAATGTTCTGAAGAGTCACAGAATGACCTTTCCCCTCCTGCTTGGAGGGACAGAGTCCACCAGAAGCCCATGTGCCTGCCCAGCAGAGACCGATACAAGCCACACTATTGGCCTCCTGGCTTGTATCAGAACTAGGGTGGCCAGCAGGACGAGGGAAGTGATCATCCCCCTGTACTCAGCACTGATGAGGCTGCACCTCGAATACTTTGTTCAGGTTTGGGCCTCTCACTACAAGAAAGACATCGAGGTGCTGGAGCGTGTTCAAAAAAGGGCTACGAAACTGGTGAAGGGTTTGTAGCACAAATCTTATGGGGAGTGGCTGAGGGAACTGGGGCTGTTTAGCCTGGAGAAAAGGAGGCTGAGGGGAGACCTTATGGCTCTGAACAACTCCCTGAAAGGAGGCTGTAGCGACGTGAGTGTCAGTCTCTTCTCCCAAGTAGCATGTGGTAAGATAAGATGAAACAGCCTCAAGTTCCATTAAGGGAGGTTTAGATTGGATATTAGGAAAAATTTCTTCACCAAAAAGGTTGTCAAGCACTGGAACCAGCTGCCCAGGGAAGTGGTTGAGTCACCATCCCTGGAGGTATTTAAAAGACGTGTAGATGTGGCACTTGGAGACATGGTTTAGTGGTGGACCTGGCAGTGTTGGGTTAACGGTTGGACTCAATGATCTTAAAGGTCTTTTCCAATCTAAACGATTCTATGTTTCCATGACTTCCACAGTGAAACAAGTCCAGAACAGGAAATTAAGTGTGTTTCATGTTGTTAAACAACAAAATTATACATTTTTCAGGATTTCCTTTGCACTTTGAAAAGCTGCTAAACATTTTGCTTGGGAAATCAAGACCAAAGAATAGGTCCTCACAGGAGAAAGACTAAAATAAACAAAAATTTAATCTTTGAAGCAGTAAGGAAGACTATCAGTGATTAACACATGCTTGTCTTTGCACCCAAAGATAACTTCCTGACAGGCTTCAGCAATATTATCCTGCACAGCAAAAAAAGCCCAATAAATGCACTCCAGAAGATGATTCCATTGGTTTGTATTTGCATTTTTTTCCCATCAAACCTATTTAATAGCAGCTGTTTACTAATCCCAGCAGCTGGGGTTAGCCTGTTTCCAAGAATGTTTTGAAGAGCACCGAGTTTTAGCCAGTGGTGCACTTAAACATGCAGATGTATTAGAGGGAAAATGGTGACTACTCATTAAAATTGCATTTTGCCTTTAGTTAGAAAATGACAAAATCAAGTTTCCCTCCACTTGCGTTCTCGTGTATAAAAATCACACCAAATCCTTCTGAGCTTTATTAACAGAGTGCCACAAATACAGCAAGATGTATTCTCATTCATGGAAAGGATTTGTGCATTTCACTTGTGAGCCTTGGAGACTGTGTGTATTTGCAACTATGTGCCAATCAACTCTGAAATTTGCACAAGCATTTTTTTGTATCCAAACTATTTATGTAATCAAGCTAACTGAAAATATGCTTGTTAAAGCACAAAATATTTTAACGTCTCCCCTCAAAACACAACCCTGAACAGTGGAAAGCTTTTGCACAAGAATAATCAGACAGTTGTGACCAAACTTAAAGATGCTGAAGTTTATACTCAGACAACTCACTTTAGTATATGCAAGATATATAAGATATCTGCTTGATCATGGAGCGTTGGACATTGCTTCAGCTGCTCAACAAGCTTCCTGCAATCCAAATCACCATGAGCATCTTTAGGCAAGTGCAAAACATTTTCACGGTCCTGGTAACAGAGATGGATGAAAAATCAAAGAAATTATCTTGAAAAAAATAGCAGATAATTCAAACCTTAATTTCCCATTAAACAATAACACAGAACTGCAACATAACTCTGCACTTGAAATACAGGCACATCACATAGTTCTTGCCAGACTACTGTAGACTTGAAAAGGGGACTCATCCCAGGAAACACAACACCCAGAATGGAACATTGTTTCTAGTTTTGGTTCAATCAACAAGCAAAGCCATTTTTTTGGACAAAACAAAGAAGTATTTTGTCAGAAAAGGAAAACAAAATATTTGCATGCTTTTCCTGTCATTTGCTGTTACTTGTAAAGAGAAAAGCAGAAGGATATTACCATTTTTTGTTGAAATAATTTAGAGCTTTTCGAGTTACATCTCTAACCTGTATATGTGACGCTTTATGAATGCAGATGTTGCCATCATAAATTTGCCAATCTTATGAAACTAACATGTTAACTAACCAGAAGATGCAACCCTGTGATGAGTTCTTGGATGAAGAAAAGTTTTGTTTAGTAAGCTATTCAGCAATTTATATGGTCCTAAAATACCATTTCCACAAACAGAGCCTGTAGAGCAAAATCCTTCAGGAGGCTGGATACAACCCCCTGCAACCTTTCTCAGCAGCTGGTCACACATACTAAAACAAAAAAAGTGCCCAGCACAACCCCTTCTTCATGCCTTGTAGTGGGATTTGGCTGGTGCCTTAAAGACACCTGTCCTTTCACACACTCCCCTCCTGCCCAGACATTACTGTAAGTAGCATTTCTTGGAGAACATCTCTAAAGGCCATGAACATCCCATCCTTCCCTTTGTGTGTTCAGTTAGAACTGAAGAAGATGACTTAACCTTTGGCCTTTAAAATTAAGCACCTGTTATATTATTTTCTGTTTTGCACACACAATTAAAATGTTTCCACTTGATAATGTCTACTGAGCCAAAAAACCTTCACCCAGCCATGAAATAAATTCCAAAACAAGGGAGTAGCTATCTGGTGCCTCAGGCAGAATGGTTTGTCTGTGAAGGAAAATAAGAACTAGCATAGGGTTTGGCTGGGAAACACAGGAAAGGCCACAGTATTGTGTCCTAAAACCACAAAGAACATAAAAATTCCCACAGTTTACCTTTGTCTCAAAGAAATGGGGATTATCAACAAGATTCAGAGACTTCCGGTGCGTGTTCAGAACTTTAGTGGGAAGAGACATAGACATAGCTGAAAGCAAAGCCACCAGAAAACAGAAAAAAAAGTCCATTTCAGTAACATGAAAACACCTATGTGAAGCAACTGCACTAGGCAAAAACAACAGAAACATCTCCAAGAATCAAAATATAGAGTGAACACTTCTGAGATGCTCTGCATGGAACTCAGAGACAAACTCACATTCTGAACCTTATCTCCTTGCAGGATTGCTGCAAGAGCTTCTGAGATCAATATGTCAAAGGCTCAGGCACTACATGCTCAACTGATACCCCTTATGACAGTTCATGCCTCAGAAAACGAACAGCCCAATGACCTGACCCTGCTAAGTGTTTTAAACATTTTAACAGGAAGTATGTAGAGAAAATGGTCTAACTGGTAAGATATAATCGTTAAAATGGTAATGGTAAATGCAGGCTGATCCTCCGTTAACTTCATATGTTGAATTCAATAGAGGATCAGATGACGTGGCATGTGAAAGATGGGAGAAGAGATTAACAAAAAAATCTTGGAAGTTATTAATTTACACTGAAGTTAAGGGAAGCCTTCCCTTAACCAGGGCATTGAGTACTACATACCCACATATAAAACTATGCATGCGTCAGAATCTATTTACAAATTGAGTCAAAGCATTATTTTAGTGTAAATCCTCCAATCAGTCTATTAGAAATGTAGTGTAATTAGGAATACCATCCTCCCTCTCTACTCCATTTGTTCTTACAAATTTAGAAAGTACATGCGCATACTTATATTTTACTGGCATTCAAACATTTGATTCCACCACAAGCTTATTAAAATAAGAAATATTTTCTATAAACAAAGACAAAAAAGGAATTCACTGACTTAGGGGCTAAAATTCTACCCAAGTGAGAAGCTGTAGCAGTTACCATAACATTGATTAAATGTTACATTTCATAAGAGGTTATTTATGTATACACCAAGGCATGGGACACTGTGGGAACACCACAGTAACGGCTTCAGATGCCTTCTCACTTCTTGGTAAGTACAACATACTCATGCCACTACTTCTTTTTAAATGGCAGAGTTTTTAAATACTTGAACTTATCCCTTGTAGCACCTAAAACAGCTTTTCTAATACTATCACTAAATAAATAATAGGGAGAAATACCTGGAACCTCCAAGCCCTTTGTCTTGGCCATTATTGACAGTATCTCTTTTGTGGAATGGTTTGCACTGAACAAAGGTGGTTGATTTGCAGTCTTTGAAGTTGGAGGCAGGTATGACCTCAGTGCTGTACTCTGCAGGACATCATTTATATATTGATCCAGCTCATCCTGGCTTTCTAGTTTGACATACATAAAAAAAAAAAGGTTTAATGAAGGTAAAAATCATGATTTATCGGTGCTTTCTTTTTCAAACATACCATTCTATTCTTGCTTATATAGAAGGGTACACAAAAATGGAAGAGTATCATAAGCAAGAGATTTTTAAGTTCAACAAATTTGAAAGAAAAAAAAATAATCCATTTTTGACACTTAGAAAACAGTTACATTAAGAAGTTGTTTTTCCCTTTAAAAGGAAGGAAGAGCGATTTTGTTGTGCTGGTAGCCCACAGATCATGGTTGCACTTGATAATCTTAGAGGTCTTTTCCAACCTCAACGATTCTATGATTCTATCAGCATTTCCACACATGCTCGTCTGTGACTCCTCACAGTGTCTTCCTCCCTCCAGCCTCTTGCACACACATCCCCATCTACTGACTCTTCAGACTCTGCTTTACTGCAGTACTTACTGATCAATGCCATACTATGAACATAGGAACAATATGCACAAATTCTTTCTCCAAATTAAATCATGCAGGTACGGTCCTCAAATTGATGCGTGAGAAACCTGAATGACTAGCAACTGCACACAAAATAGACTGCATTGTAGATAAATCCAGGCTCTGCTGATAGAACTTGACAGAGAAAAAATGCGAAGCGAAAACCCAGTACCTCTTTCATAGAAGTCTGCTGGATAGCTTCCATATTCACTGTCAGGACTATTGCGGCCTTCACTAGGGTTGTCAAACAGTTTTACATCACAGTCGGGATCCAGGAAGCTCAGATACGTATGAAAAGATGTGGTAAGAAATTCTGATAGCTTGCCTATCTTCACCCTGCAAAGAGGAATGCATGCCAAAGAGCATTAACATCCACCATTTTGCTTCTGATTAATTCTCACTGAGCTTTCAACAACTCCAAATTTATGAGACCTACTGTTAAATCCACCTTTGGCAACCACAAAGCAGCAGATACTGACACTAAGAAAAACAAATGCAAAACAATAGTTGTCTATCAATCGAGCTGGGTACTTACTGCTCTAACTGAACTTAACTGTGTTATGGTAACACCTACAGGCCTAACTCAGAGCCTAATTATGTAGGGTGCTGTATGTTTATATGAAGAGAGACCCTAAACAAAGACTAAACTTCAAGGATAATGGATGAGAAACTGGGGCTGAGAAGTTCCCATGAAGAGCACTATCTTTTCACAGAACTGCACTGCTGCTAAAAATCAGAAAGCTCATCTGATTGTCAGCTAGATACTGATTGAGAGTGGGCAAACAGAAAGAGAATAAGGAGGTACTGCAGCACCATACTAAATTGCTTTTATGTGTAGATGAATGGAAAACATAAGTTTACAAGTACTACACATAATTAATGTTTAAAACATGTCCAATAACTATGAAAGATAATTACTTCTTAAAAACAGAAGCCTAGCCAAGACCAGGTTTTTGTATTTCCAGAGGTCTGGCGTTTGTTTTTCCTTATTCATCAGTGGCAGTCAGAAACAGTACACCTCTTAGGAGACAGATCCTTCACGTTGCATCTGAGGTCCAGCTACCACCTGACTGCCACATAATAATTAAAGCTGAAACTTCTCTCTCTGCAGAGTTCCAGAAAAAGGTGTGTGCACTGTCATAAGTTCAAAAGTGAGGCCTGTATAGGATTTCATTGAAAAATCATGGAGAGACCCATTTGAGGGTTCTGACATTACCTTGCACCTCCAAAATAACCATCCTCTAATTTTCTTATGGTGGCAAGAACTGCTGGATGAATGTCAGTACCATCATCAACTGAAAAAGAATAATAGAAGAGTTGACGCTTACCAATATGTTCTTAAATTATCATGTCCAAATAAACTGTATTACTGAGTGTTCTCTACAAAAGTAAACCAGATAAATTTAAAACAGAACCCACAATAGCTATCAAGACTAGCTTATTCAAAAAACCCCAAACAAGCAAACAAAAACTAATCCTCTCAAGACAAGTTCCAAAGGGACTTCTATCAAATTTCTTCAGACGGAAATAGTATGCATATGATGGGGAGATGCAAGAATATAAAGGGGGGAGTAAAACCAGCATGAAATATTACCATGTCATCTAAATTTAGCATATACTTGAGAAAGTTAAACTGTACTTCTGATGTTGAAACAGTCAGATCACCTGTCTCCTCCCAAACTGACTTCCATCCTACTCCTCTGCAGTGATCTACTCTGCTTGATAGAGAGAAAATGAAGTTTACCAAGCATTGTGTGGGTGATGGGAAATGTCAGCGTTGGTCTCCCTGTCATCCTCCAACAAGACGTCAGGTAAGCCAGCTCTGTCTTGAGCATCTCCACAATCATCTGATTGTCTAGAGCCAGATAGAAGTGATGCTGGTCAGTAAACTAGAGAACAGAGAAATATGGCATATGAGTAGTTGTCAGCGCTCTCCTTAATTTTTTCCATTTCTTCCCTTAAATCATTTACAAAAGCCATACGAGCTATTCTTGACCACAACACAAACTGCATGAATTAACCTAACAAGGCCTAAGGCTGTGAAAAAGAAACCCATGCTTGTGCAGACTCCATTTTCTTACACTTGTAAGCTGACCATGAAAGAAGTCAGTCATACAAATAAAAAGCAGACAACCACACCCATGAAGTAGAATCTTCCCAATGATGAACTACAGTAACCTATGATCTGAAGACAGAAGTACTCTAAATGTGAAAGAAATAACTAACAATAACAACAAAACCAATAAATAGGCTCAAGTGCACGCTGGGGACTGGGAACTAATAACTGTATGTCTCTTGGGAACAATCTGAAAGTCAAGCAGAATTCAGAAAAGCTGGCAATTACTGTGGAAAAAAAGGCTGGACAAACAATGGAAAGTATATCAAAGCAGCTACAACAAAACTTAAGGAAGCACCTAAGCCTTGGGGAATGGTGGAAAAAGGAGGCTGGGATGTAAAATAAACATCAATTAGTAAGACACATAGTAGTCAAAGAGAAAACATACTCTAAATGCATCAAAAGTAATAGGAAAACACAGAAACTGTAGGTCTGTTAATAAAGAAAGAAAGGCGGTAGGAAGAGAGGATACAGGCAAGTCGAAGCTTTTTTTTTTTTTTAACTGACAAAAGAAAAGTAGCAAATTATGACCTGTAATATTACTTTTAACAAAGCAATCGGAGTCCAGTCTGAGTATGGGAAGAAAAGGTCAAAGAGCACAGAAATTCAAGCTGGCAAAGTCCAAAGAAATTAATTCACAGAACTAGCCAAAACAATCCCTGAGCCACCCGCAATTAGTTTTGATAATTCAAGAACAAGTCCCAGAAACCCAGAGAGAAGCAAACACACTGCCTGTCTTTAAAAAGGAAGAACCAGGGTAACATAGACAGTCAAGCCAAATTCAGTGCCTGAAAGCACAGGAAAACAAAGCCAATTTGAGACTGCCAAGATAATTAAAAAATCATAAAGCAAGATGGCCAACCAGTCATATTAAAAATCAATCTCAGCAAAGGAGTCCAATTTCCTTCTTTGGGAGCAGCTAGGAGATAGGTACAAGAAAGTGGCTGCCTTCTCTAAACTTCTGCAAATTTTCACACTAGTGAGCTGAAGAAAAAACATCTCAGGAGGCAGAACTGCTTGAAAAATTGTTCTCAAAAGGTAGCTATTAACGTTTCTTTTCAGAATGAAAGGTTATCTAAATGGGGTCAGCCTTTGCCCCACACTTAATCAATGTTCTCATTGGAGAACAGGATGAAATACAAACTACAAAATCACAAAATCTGTGGACATTAGTCAAGATCAACACACATGAGTTAATTGCTAACATTAGAAAGGTGAAATTAAACATTAATTCCACCCCCCTCAAAAAAAAGGCAGAGGGAAATATCGGGCTACAAAGTACAACAGAAAGTTTTACGGAGGTTTTAGTCAAACACAGAATAAGTAGGAACTGTCAGTGTGTTGCTAACGCAAAGATAAATGCCATTTTGGAATATATTAATACATACTTGATACATGGCAAGATTTCAGCTGGAATATTGGGTCCTACTTACATAGTAAGATGTGGACAGAGACATTTAGAAAAAAAATAAAATCACACCTCTAAGAAATTTTTCCCTAATTTGCAAAAGTGAAAAGTGGTGTGGGGAACAACACAACAAATAATCTGATACAAAGCTGCTTGTGATCAAATGACATGGGGAAGAATGGGAAGGAATCCACAATTTTTGCAGTAAATCTGATATTGTTTAGACATTACGAAGCACTGCAGAAGCCATCTACGGAGTCCACTGAATGTCATCCACTGGAATTGAAAGACTACACTAGTCAAACATATATTTAGGAGGGTATGAGCATTCTCTATCCTGCTCTAGTTGCACATGTTTATAGTAGGTAGAGTAATTCTACAGAAACGTGTGTCATATTTCATTAAATGTATAAATAAGAGCCATCATTCTGGGAGGATCCGAACTTCTAGCTACATTGAAAAAGGCACTAAATAAAAAACAAAGACAGAACATCCCTTTCTCAGCACTATCAACCCTTTCAACAGTATCATGAAAAGATTACACCTTAGTCCCTGGGGGTTACAGTCCTTGGCATGCTTATGTGAAACTACCTTTTTCATCAAAGCAATCAGTAGGACAATATATTAAGTGAACTATTTCTGCAGAAACTATTTCATTAGCTAGAATGTTGGTTCGGGCAGAGATCAGTAACAACTTAGTATTATTGATTTGCTGCGTTCTCCTAAACCAGAATCCCAAAAAGCCAGACTCTGTATGACAGAAGAGATTTATCAACATTCTTACCATGGTGATCATCCAACGCTTTTAAAAACCCCACAAAGCAAAGCACATCTGCTTTATCAGCCCTGTTCTGCCTCAAGTAGAGAGACAGCACATAAAAGCAAAGCGCTTCACTAATGATTAGCCATTAAGTAAGCAGTGATTTCCCTGCTAGTTTTACATCCTCACCTGAGGGGTAAAAGCAAATATTTGATTTCTTATCACGTACAGCTTGGAGGTGCCTAACACTCCAATATGTCGGTGTGGCCGTCCACTTAATTTCATGTTCTTGTTCCGGCCTGTAAAGAAAAGAGAAAAAACAAAAAAGTCTCCCCTAACATTTCCTGTGTGATTTTCCACAACAATCATTTTAGATTAGGAGATCTGCTTCAATGATATCAGCAAGGCAGAAGACAGATAATAAAGTGAGATACTATAGACTGGTTCATTTTGTAGCAACCATCAATATAATAGCTAGAGTCCTTCAAAGGCATGACTAAAAAGAAAAATTTTGGCTTCACTGACCATGGGATCAGGTCTCTTAATTAGTCATTGCTTAGTACCCAAAGCTTTCCCACCAAGAAGGACAGGATGTATGCCCTTTCAAAAACAGGGTCATCAACATGCAACAGAAATTGCAGTGCTTTCACTGTAAAACCTTAAAAATTCTTGCCCAGAGAAGGCTAAATCCAAATACAAACCACATCCAAACACAGATTTTCATTCTTTTCATCAGGCTAATAAGCTCCAGTCTTCTCAGTAGAGCTTATTAGCAAATGATCTGCACTGCACCTTTTGCTCCAGCAGCCAGGAGCTGACTGGAATCTGTCTGACATGGAATATGAGCCAAACAACTATGCGCCTGAAAAAATACCACTGTGAACATTCCCAAAGAAGTCACTGTTAAAAACAATACACAAATGTGTCAAATCATCCTGCTCACCCCCCCTACTAGTGAAAGAAAGCTATTATGAATTCTTATGAAATAAATGTAAGCTTCCAAAAAGACAGTTTCATTTGTTAAAAGTTCTTTGTGATAAAGAGGATATTTCCCAAAAGCAGCACATGCAATTTCCCTTCTCCATGTAAAGGGCACACTTTCTAAGACTTATTTGAAGGCCCTATTACTTTGGATGCTTCCACAAAAATTCCTGTTAAAACAAACAAACAAACATAAAAAGCAACAAAAAATGCCACAACAACAACAAAAAAACCCACCCACCCCATGAACAGTCTCATACTCTCCCGCAGCATTATCTGTAGCCAAATTGCCATGGGAACATGCTCCAGACTGACAGAAAAGGCACAGTACAGCTCCCATTGTCCATGCTGTAAAGGAATCTATCAGTGCTGACTGACCCCACCTCCACTTTACTTTTTGAGTCATGAGTTGCTGCCACACTTGAAGTAGTAAAACTAAGTTAAATTTGGAATACATGTTACAAATTTTCCACCAAGACCTTATTCATTCCAGCAAGGATTATCAAAAAAGACGGTTACCAAAAGATTTTCAACAAGTAGAACCAGTCACGAGTTTTGCGGCATTTATTCAAACCAACTGCCAGGCTCTGGGGAAAACAGACCTCTAGGGCCACTGATGAAGAACTGGAATGTGTTGAAAGCCCTGTGGTTAGTAAAGCCCTAACAGCTTCTGGGTTTGCAACAGAGACAGAGAGCTTCAGCAGTTCAACTCAGCTCAGGATTGGAAGGAACATTAGCAAGAACACGACAGCCCAAAGATTCTCTGAGAACAGCACTGCTTCTCTGATTTGGAGCAGAAAAATTCCCAGGCTGTCTGCTTGTAGAATGGCAACTACATTCCTCAGTTTCCAGACTTAAAAAGAAGTACTCTCACTTCTGAAAGGAAAAACAAATGTTTTTTTAGTGTGTTTTTCCAGCAATTTTTTCTAAAGCCAGTTCCTCTGTGGAAGTAGTTCCCGGAGGACAAAAAAAGTCAGTTCTTGACTAACTCCAAGGGCACAGGGAAACTTGCATTTTGGCCACTTTTTCTAAGGAGGCATTTTTTTTTTTCCTGTTGGAGTCCCTTATTTAAGACAGAAGTCTTAACTTTGTTAAGGTTCTTTGCACAAATGCATTTTTTTTAATCAAAGAAATTGATTTAAATAAAATAAATCGAATCAAAGAAATTGGGACCACGTGAAGCAAGAAAAATGAAAACCAAAACTCTACCCTTAAAATATACCTTGTACAGCAGTAGAGAGAGTCTTCCATGTTCAGATACCTACCCAGCATGGTGTAGAGGTTACTCAGGATGCGAGCTGGCTGCACTCTGAGCGGATGGATATCAGCAATGCTCTGAACATTAATTCCATGGTCTTGCAAGAGATTCTTAATTTGATTAGATTCTGCTAAAACAGTTACTACATAACAGAAGACAAAAACACTAGTAAGAATCACTGTTCTACTCTTTTTAACTGTCTCTGCTGTAACCTCTCAACTAATGCATTTAGTTGACTGAAAAGGCACAAAGGTCTCACTTCTTTCTTAACTTATGAGCCCGTGAGATCAAAAGGGATTGCAAGAGGCTGTCAGGCAGATTTTGGTGCTCTGCTTCTCAACGTGTCTTGCCATTCTTGTCCACGCTGGACAGCAGGGTAATTCAGGATGGAAGTGTCCTCACAAGGCCTCTACTCCAGCCTCCTGCTCAAAAAGCAGTGTCAGCTCTGAGGTTAGACCAGGTTCTTTGGGGCTTTATCAGTTTCTTCTGGTTTCTTTCAGTAATACTAGTTTGGATCATGCAGTCTGTTTTAGCAGACAGGGCTTTTCCCCCATAAAACAAGGGGAAACGACTTGAAAATCTTTGTTGTTTTAATACAGCACACTATAACAAAACAGCCAAGTAAATCAGAACAGGTGCTAGTACTTGTATAGCAATAAACATTACAGAGGCCATAAAATGGCAGAGGTATGGAAAAAAAAGGTCCCAAATCAGAGAAATTTACAATCCAGGCCCTGATCCTACCTCTTGTCCTGCTTGAGGTTTTGCCCATGTTAGGTGGCTTATTGGTTTGGGACTAATCTTTCAGTATTCTTCTTTGCATTATGGATATTTCACAAAGAATGCTAAAAATAAGCAAGCCCTTCTCTACTAGAAATTAAGCACTTCAAAATAACAAAACACCACCCCCCTGAGACAACAGGGGGTAAACAAGCACCTGCCCAGGTCACAGTGTCATTGACAAAGGCAGCTGCTGATAAACAAGCTTCTTGCTTTTCCAGAGCAATACCGGCCCCTGGAAAGCCTTTAAGCCCTGATCAGCTGGTGTTTGCTCCCTACTTAATTTTCTGGTTTTGGCTGTTCCTGCACGACTAAAGCAGCCACTCCCTGCAGCAGCCAAAAGATAGCTGTAAGTCTGGCTGCCTCATCTCTGTGTAGAGAGATCCACCCTACTTGCTGCTCTCTGGTTCTTCTGAAAAGGTGCTCTACAGAATGTAATTAACCTGACCCATCTCGTCAGTCCCACTCTTTCTTGCTAGAATCCATCAAGATACTCCTTTTCACTACAAGATTAAGTTTGCCACTCTCCAGTCCCTGACAAGACTTAAAATTTTAACAAATATTTTTAAATAATTCTGTTAAACCCGATCTTCCCTCCTGGAAAAAGGCACCTAGGCAAACAACTCCTTTCTCCTCACAGTATCATCAAATCATCTACATCCCACTCAAAAATCCACATTATTTTTCAACATGTCTTTCTTCTCTCCAGTACATAGGGGCTTTGCTATCACATGATTCAATTCACCCAGAATGTTCAAAAAACTCCCTCACCTTGTACCACAACATCAGGTTTAAATCCAGTGGAAAATCTCCTGTTTAAGGGATCAATTTCACCTGCAGCAAGAAATCCCTAGAATAAATGCAAAAGAAAGAAAAAAGAAAGAAAACAAACAAAAATTAACTAAAAGGCTTCTGATGACATCTAGAAGAAATCTTAAACAATTTTCATATTTTATCAGGAGAGCAGGACTTAAAGCCTGATTTATCTACCCCATCCACTATATATAGTACAATTCAATAAAAACAATGGCTGCTAAATTTTTTAGAACAAGAAAATGGTTATGACAACTGACACAATTTGCATTTTCAGATTTACTGTTTTAGAGCTGCAACAAGTGACACAATTTTGCCAGGCCACTGATTTTTTCTGTAGCTCCAGAGAGATATTCAGTGATTCCTTTAATGGGTTCATGGCTAACACAGGCCACCTACATAGGCATCTTATGCCACAGAGTAAGACATAGCCTAGTGAAGCTAATCCAGTGCATAATCCTAGCTCTGGGACAGTCAAATCAACCTGGGTGTATTTCTCTAGCCTAACCATATATCTAGGCCATCTGACAACTTATTCAGCTTGATTAGAAACAGGGAATCACATATCTATATATTAAAAAAAAAAAAAAACAAAAAACTCTTGAAAGCTCAGAGTTATCCCTCCATGGCTCATGTACATGTTTCTACTGGAAAAACCTGTCAACCAAACTGTACTTAAAGCCTAAGCCATCCCAAAACAAAATTAAATATAATCTGACCTACTCTAAAAGAAACAATTACCTCTGCTAATAGGCAGCTAAGGACATACAATGACTGGCCCCAAAGATGAGGCAACTTTCCCACCGAGACACGATCCACTGAGTGAGGATTTTCATACTCCTCATCCACCTGAAAACAAATACATAAGGAAAAATTACCCTAAAGTTGTGAGAACAATCAATAACATGGAAGTATTTGAAAAAAATATGGTTTATCATCTACATTTTCTAACCTGCCATTATTACTGACATCAAGATCCCTTGATTTTACTTTTAAGGCTACATGTTTTCTGGGACAAGAACTATGCTACCTTTTTGTACACTGCCCCACCCTTCAAAGCCGGAGGTTGAATGGGGACTCTGCATGAAGTTACAGCTTTAGTGTTAGCACTTCCCCTTTCTTCTCACCATGCCTTTGCTGCCTTCCCTCTGGGCAGCTTGTAGGTAATTGTGTGCCTGCTTTCCAACCCCTTGCAAGATGACACTTGAACTTCACCTCACCAATATCTACCTAGCTTCCTGAAGTAAAGGCGCTTTCCAAAAACGAAAGCTATTCTACCTCTCCTGTGTTAGCAAGAATGGTCAATGGAAAAATTAAGAGCAGACTCTTATTTATTTAGAAAAACTGCCTTGGTTTTGCAGCAGTATACAGATCTATTGAGGGTGGGGAAAATCCCTCCCAGATATGACAGGCAAAATCTACATTGTTTATTTGGCATGTTCATCAGATCATCATCATCATATCAAAATTCACAAGAAGGCTCTGAACTCTTACACGCTTGTTCCCACTGGGAAGGTAATTCACAGTTTCCACCTCAGATCTGCGGGCAAGACATCAGCTGTCGACACTCCCTGCCCAAACTCAGACCAACCCAGGAGGCTCCACACCCTTAGTGAGTGAGGACTGAGAAGTCTGGAGCGGGAGAAAAAGTTGGCAGGGAGGGATGCAAAGGCAAATAGCATGGAAGAGCACATAACCTCATCTGAATTTCGTTGCCACAACAGGAGAATCAGGTAAACAGTAACAGCAAAGTTGGGGGGAAACTTAAAAAAAAAAACAAACAAAACAAAACACCAAAACAAAACCCCCAGCCCAAAACCTAATCTATCTGAAACCTGTTTCTCTCTCACATACAAGCTCTGGAAAAGAAAGAGCAATCAATAGACTAGACAGGCAGGACAGTCTATGCTTTATTTCTTCTTTGAGCTTCAGTTCCTAAGTCAGCATCAGCACTTCTTAAATATCTGTCTTGCTGTACGGATTTAAACCTTTAGACCCGCTCTAGTATTTCTGCAGACACCCAGATTCCAAAGTGAAAAATATGACCATTTGGAAGCCTAAAGTTTACCATTTCTCAGTGGGAGCTGTGAGAGGCTTCTTAGTTTATAAATAATGTGCAATAGTCTTTTATTATTGCTGGTTTATATTTATCAGCTACAGGAAAACTATAAAAATCGACATTCATCTTGATATCTATACTGAAGAGGATGCTGCAGTTTCACAGTACCTTTTCTGGAGGGACCGCATACAGTTCAGGCATTAGCACTATTCCATTCTTCTCTCTAATAAGTATTCCTTCCAGAGCCTCTCTATACTCTTGTACCTGGAAATATTTTTAAAAGAGAGTGAGAATTCACATTACAGCCAGCAAAATTGAAACAGTAAAGTTAAAGTTTTAGTACTTTCCAACAGTACTTTTGTGATGAAAGATCATTTAAAAAAAAAAAAAAAAAAAAAAAAAAAAGAGGGGGGGAATTATGACTTGCTGATGGAAGATCAGGGTTGAAATTCTCAGAGATTGCTCCAGTATCTCAATATTACCAGCCTCAAAAACATGAACATGCATCTTTAATCTGTAACATACCACTGCAGTACAAAATTTCTAACGTATTCCCATCAAGAAGTCACTGGAACAAATCCTACATGCCATTTGCAACAGATGACAATGCAGTGACATGAATGTCAGGACTGCCAATATCCATAAAAGTGTAAGATGTACAAATTGTTAGCCTTCTACCATGCACATTTGTCTATGACTTTCTGAATTCTGCTTTGAAGGACTGAGAAATCAGTTTCTCTTAACTGATTTGCTTAAAAACTTGCCCAATGGAAAACTTACAATATATTTAAACTGTTTAAAAGTATCTAAGTTAATTGAACAGAAAATCTTCTTGTTCTTGTGTTGTTAGACAACGTAATATGAACAGGAATATTAGACTGATACAAAATAAGGAACATTTAATATTCATTTTACCAGATCCCTGTTTTTGTTCCATTTCTTCACTATCCCACTGCAAGCTTTTACTTACAGGAAAGCTGTTTTCAAGCACTACCAGCACCTGCCTCTGAAATTCTATTTCCCTTTCTGAATACATTGGAACATGCAAAGTAAGGTACCCACAGGTCCATATTATGGTACACTGATATTTTCAGTATCCTGTCCTTCCACACTCTTTTTGAGTCCCTGGGGTGTTTATTTTTCTAACAATTGCTGCCATTGCAACCACTTGTTTGCAGCAGTAATTGGGGAAGACTAGACACTCACTTGAGCATCTCAGTCACTCATTCTGCTGTTTAAATGGTGGGAACTGGGAGCAATTGCCCAGTCTGACCATGCCCTAGCACAGCTTGTCTGCACACCATAAAGGCAACCAGGTACATATCATCCCAGATAATCCAAATAAATTCTAGAGACTGTTTTGTGAAGTGGTATTTTATTGACATGACCAAAGTTTCAGTAAACTTTCTGATTTTTCCTCTCATGAAATAATGCTGTTTCTCTCTCCACCAGACTAATTTTACTGTGTTCAGGAAAGCAACTTACATTTCTAGTGTCAGTATTGCATCTGATTTACAACATCTGGTATAGAAATAAAACTTTTTGGTCTAAAATTCTCTGTTTTGTTTCTGATACCATTCTACTTTTTAAGGGCTTATGTTTAGCAATCTCCTTTCCCTCTGCATACCAGGTGATTTTAAATCACATGTATTTTTAAATTTCTGCAAGACATCAATCTGCAGAAGTCCTAGTATGAACACATTTAATCCTGGCTACTTGTTGCTCTTTAATTCACCAATACTTTCCAGGTGCCACTATAACCTTTGGAAGGCTACAATCAGTTTAGCTCCCCTGACCACTGTGATGCTTGACGTGGTAAAGGCATGAAGTAATTTAGTGAAAATGAAATGGCTCCTCATAATCCAACTCCAAATTTCTCTGAATGTACAAAAGGACTGAAAGTACTATGAATCTTGTTCTTAGCAGCCAAGCCACAGAGGTCGGGGGTAAAAAGAAGCTGGTCTCATCCTGAAGTAACTGGAAAAGGGGCATCGAGGTTGGTGATATGACAGAACCAGGCAAATAAACCCTGTTCAGCCCAGTTTGACCACACCAGCTAAGAGAGCCACTCAACCTGGTAAAGACAGGACAGTGAGGGCCCTGTGTGCACAACACTGCAGCCTCTACCATGTCATGAACTCTCCAGGAAAATGAGATTGGTTGAAGAATACTCCCATGCCACTGATGGGGCATCCAACTGATTCCCAAAATAAACATGGAGCAAAGCTACAAAATACTGTGGGTAAATGGTTTTGCATTTTCATTTAAAGTAAATTCTCCTTTCCTCACCTGTATTTTATCCTCATTAAATACTCCATCAATTAGGAAGTATGTCCAGAATACTGGCCACTCGCATTCAATATTCTCAAAGAGCTTGAGCTCAGCAGGATCATAGTGCAGTCTGCTTGGATCCTAGAAATTCAATCACATTCGTTTAGTCACAGTGCTAAATCAGCCACTCATATTCCAGAGGCAGCCTACTTCAGACAAGTAATTAAAACCAAGAAACCAATAAAAACACCAGAAATAGTTTCCATACAGTCTCTTGACTTCTTTTTCACATTTGTCTCAAACTTATTTAATCATTCCCTAGATAAATTGACCCTTCCCAGTCTCAGAATCTAGGGGTCGCCCAAATAATCTTGGCTCTGCCTCAGTTCAAAGACATTTTGGGATGCCTCAGAGACACTGCTTCCACTTAGGCACCAGAAGCATATCTAAGGGTTCATTTCTTACAGAATTATGGATTAAGTTCTGTCCTTAGTAATTGGTTTTCAAAACCTTAGCCTCCTTCAGATGTGTGTCGTTTCTAGGGTGGATACCTGGATGACCTCCAAATCCACTAAGATGTCTTAACAGTGATACTGAACTTCAGCCCTTCATGTAAATGAGACAAAAAATGTCTATAAAAAAAGAGATAAAATTCTTCCTAATGCCTACTGAAAATATACATCAGAAGTACCTCTCTAGGTGTCTTGTAACCATCTCGGAGAAAGCGACAGCACCCATAGCGGCCCTGTAAGAACAAACAAAATTATAGAAAATTTCACATACTGTTCTTCTCACAGACTAACATCAGCATGAAAGTATGTGCTCAGTTTTAAGTGTCACTCAGGGATTTCCCTCCCTCTCCCATGCACAGATGAAACAAGTCCAGCAACCCTTGTTTAATTAGGATTTTTGGTTAAGAAAGGGAGGTTCTGCCTCTCTTTCCCTCTGAAAAATAAAAATAAAGGAAATCCTTACCTGCAATTTGGATATGATTTCACTCTTGGTTACATTAACAAGGTTTAGATCCTCCACTGCAAAAGCTGGGTAAGAAATAATAGAGAGAAGGCCAGCATCTATCTCCTTTGACGTGGATGCCCTTGGCAACATGGAGTACAGAATAGACTGAGGAAAACATGAATAGAAGAGAGGGATGTAAAACAATTTACCTACATCAAAGGACTATGTCAGGTGCAAATGGAATAGACTATACTATTAGCAAACTGACATAGAACTCACTACATAATTATATTTAACTGAGGTAGAACAAGCATGCTTCACACTACTCACTTTCACATGATCTACTAGAAACAGGGTGAACAGCATAGTCTGAAGCCATCCTTATTACATTAAGCTCTTGGTTCAGTTAATTAACACTTCATTTAAAAACAAAATGGAGAGGGTGTTGGGTTTTCCCCTAGCAAAGGAAACAGAAGACTTAATTTTTACCTGACAGTGTTCTACTTCATCAGGAAGAACATGAATCACTGATTTGTGTCCTCCATGAGCTCCAAAAAGATCTAGTTCATCAATTGCTTCCAAAGCAGCCTTGAAAAACAAACAAACAAACAAACAAACAAACAAACAACAACCCACAATAATTATATACCTTTTAAGCCCAGTATACACGCTAGCACCTGTGCTTATCCTCAAAGGAAATTACCTAAAACAGAAGTTTACTCCAGACACATTTTTTCATCTTTAAAGGGCAGCTTGGCAGTATTTTAGAAAAAGTAAATATTTCTGTCTTTCTGCTAGCAGGATATTATCACTTCCCAAGGGAATTAAAACAAGACGCCTGCTCTCTGCACAGCCAACATCATGCTCCATGTCAGCAGGGGAATCACCCCATCCCATACCTCTTAGCCATAATGCACTTGCCTAGTGACAACATGAGCACTCCAAGCACTGACCCCATTTGGGCACTCCCTACTTTAACGTAGCAGGCTACAAAACCTGGCTTTGCAGAAGCGGGGCATGCAGCAGCGCACAGGGCATGTGGCAGGAAGAAAGCAAGGACTGCAAAGCCAGAGTCAGGCTAGCAGAGTTTTCCTCTGAAACGCATATTCATAGTGTTACGGTAGCACTGAATGTTGCTCCGTACCCATTTTTGTCCAGCATCTTCATGGTAATGTCAACCTCTGACAGTGCAGCTTGCCTTATTCACACTGCAGAGAGGCAAGGGTATTTTTCTTCTTCCATCATAAACATGGGTTTACTGGTTCTGCAGAGTCTCTCTCTAGCCAAGTGCCAGAGCAGCAGATGTTCCTGGTAGCAGCAAAAATCCCCATTGAGGAACTGACAGCTGGGGCTATGGGCAGTCTAAACGTTGAACAAAAGGCACCAAGATCAACTCAAAGGCCTATGCTCCATGCTATACTGGTGCCACAGGGAGACACACAAAGCAGATGCAGGAGAGAAATATTAAGAAGGAGAATTCCTGAATCAGATTTGAAAAAATAGCATTTATCCTGCTCTCTGCAGCAGGGCCTCCAGCGTGCCTCGTGGTCCCCACCCCAAACAGCACTTTTATTGAACCCAGAGCCACAGAGAAGCAAAGCTGTGCAGCAAGCCCCACAGATCATGCTGACACCAGTGCACCCAGGAGCTGTGTAGAGACCACAGCAACCTGCATCAGGCTGTTCAGCACAAAAGATTTGTACTGGACACCTAAGAAGTAACCTCCCCCACAAACACCTGCCCCACAGCTATCTGACTGAACTGTGGCCAAGACCAGAAGTTTCTCCCTCCTGCAGCAGCACAAGATCTTGGTAACTAATAAATCCTGCTGAAATGCAACTACACCTTCAACCTTAATAATATTTGGCTTCTGTCAGGCACCCAGACACCATGTAAAAACATAGCTGTGAATTACACATTTACATTTATGACCTTCTGAGCTTCATTTAGTATCTCTGTGACCTTGTGCTATGGAGGAACCAGAAATAGCCAGTTTCTTTTAGTTATATCTTTACTAATTTTCCTCTCTAAATTACTTGTGGATACTTTCTTAGACTGATATTCTACTGCCTTCCAGAATTTACATCCAGAGGGAACTGGACAGGCTTGAGAGGTGGGCCTGTGCAAACCTCATGAAGTTCAACAAGGCCAAATGCAAGGTCCTGCCCATGGGTCGGGGCAATCCCAAGCACAAATATAGGCTGGGCAATGAGTGGATTGAGAGCAGCTTTGCCGAAAAGGACTTGGGGGTATCGGTGGATGAGCCAGCAATGTGCACTCACAACCCAGAAAGCCAACCATATCCTGGGCTGCATCAAAAGCAGCATGACCAGCAGGACGAGGGACAGTATTCCTCCCCTCTCCTCTGCTCCCATGAGACCCCACCTGCAGTGCTGCACCTGGCTCTGGGGCCCCCAGCATAAAAAAGACAGGGACCTGTTGGAGTGAGTCCAAAGGAGGCCATGAAGATGATCAGGGGTCTGGAGCACCTCCCCTGTGAGGACAGGCTGAGAGGGTTGGGGCTGTTCAGCCTGGAGAAGGCTCCGGGGAGATCTTATAGCGGCCTTCCAGTACTTAAAGAGGGCCTACAGGAAAGGTGGGGAGGGGCTCTTCATCAGGGAGTGCAGAGATAGGATAAGGGGTAACAGTTTTAAGCTGAAAGAGGGGAGATTTAGTTTAGATATAAGGAAGAAATTCTTTGCTGTGAGGGTGGTGAGACTCTAGAACAGGTCGCCCAGAGGAGCTGTGGCTACCCCCTCCCTGAAAGTGTTCAAGGCCAGGCTGGATGATGCTTTGAGTAACCTGGTCTAATGGAAGGGTGGTTGGAATAGAGATCTTTAAGGTCCCTTCCAACCCAAGCCATTCCACGATTCTATGATTTAATCTTACCATGAAAACATCACATATAATACTGGGGCTAGAGAATTAAGATAGAGGGACAGAAAACCAGAGGCCGCTTTATGAGACTGCACCTTACTGAATCTATCAGATTCATGCCTCAATGAATCTGTCATTCTTCTTGCAACCCCTGGAACAACTGTGCTGAGGTCTTTCAGTGAAAGCCATTATCACAAGGATTTTACACTGAAAAACACTCACTCGCACCCAAACAAAAATTCTTACACAATCAGTTAACTATTGCACTGGCCAAGAAGACTATGCAAAGGAAGCCATCAGGTTTGCCAGAGCCCTTCAGTGTGACAGAACAGCCATGAAGGAGGTGACAGGAGGACATTCTCACTTTGGCCATCCCTACAGAGCTTGCATTCAATTCAGGGATGCCCTGGTTCGTCTTATCACCACGTTCCCAAATTCCATAATCCTGCAACAACATAATCAAGAGAAAATTGGCATGATCATATAAAAACCAATGTTTTCCCCCCTCGTCCCACAGCAAAATCAAACCCCTGAATTAAATTAGTTTATCTGCCTTAAAAAAGAAAAAAAAAAAAAAAAAATGCTCCAAGTCTCCAAAGAGCCCCTCCTCATCTTTAAAGAGCAGCACAGAAAAATACACCCCAAGGGGATCAGGCCTACAGTCATGAATCACTGTCTTCACAGAACACACAAAGCCCTTTATCCTTCCCCCAATGCATGCTTCTTCCTGTGCCCCTTCAACTCGTCACTTTCTGAAAAGTTTGTTAACACTTTGCTCTTTTTAGAAAGGCCTATAAGATTTTAATGAGACATCAAAAAATGTTATTAACTATCCATAAAGAAAAGCTATTATGACTGAACAAGTATACTTCACCCAGGCACCTGTAAATCCTCCACAGCCCTCCCACCACCTCCAAAGATGCTGCTCACAGTGTGAAGTACTGACAGGATCTGATAACTTCTCATGGAAAAAGAAGTCTGTATTTTCCCTCTCCATCGATAAATAATTTTCCACCCACAGCTGAGCAGCGTTCAGGTGATTTACATATAAATAACTACTTACAGCAACTTTGTAGGCAGCTTCTATGTAGAAAACAAGATTCTGAATAAAGGTAACTTCATCAAGGGTGAAGATAATACGTAACCCTGATTAAAAAAAGGGAAGAGAATAATTATATCAGAACTGAAATATTTACTCTTCAGTGAGTTTCATGCTTTTTTTTTTATTTGCTACCAACTACTGCCCACTGAAATCAACGCAAAAGCTCATGTTGCTTTCAAAAGATCATGCAGCAAGCCTCAATACTCACTGCTGATAAAATACTTCAAATGGCACCAGTACATACTGTTTCAAAGACTAATCAAAAACCACCCCTGGGAGGGTGGCATTCAGACACAGTGGATACAAAGCAGATACATCTGAGCCAGCTCTGGCTCTCATGAGCAGTGCATCCCAATTCCTGTAGCTCCCCACCCCTTCACCCGCTTAGTGGTCTACCGAGGGACCACCAGGATGACCAGGCACCTGCTCTGCAGGGGACAACTGCAAGGGGCTCTGAGGATAGAAAAACACATAAGGAAACAAATCCTGTTCTCACAGGAGTACAGTTGAGAAGATCACAAAATAAAATGGCACCAACAAGAAGAGGGACACAGATGGCACTAGTGTGGCACCTGACTTGATGTTGCCACTCTCTGGAGAAACCTGGTTGTCCATTAGGACAGCAGTCTTCAAACACAAAACTTCTCTAACGTGACTCTGAGTATCTCATGTATTAGCATGCCAACAAATATGAAGGGAAGGGACAATGCCAGTTACTGTAAACATGAAACCCTAACAAAGCCACATCTCTTTTCCAGAGAAATACTACTTTCTCTTGAGTAATAACTACGTAATGGTCTTTGCAGCTAGTGACAACTTTTTTTCCTTTTTAAATGAAAGCTGGTATAGAAAAAGACTGCAATAATAGTCAAGGCTAAAATATCTTCTGCTTACCTGATGCAGTCATCTGTGCCAAGAAGAGCAGGTAAAGGGAAGTTGCATCCACTTGTAGATGCCCCCACTGGTCGTCCCCAACCACCGTGGCACAAGTTGCAGAATTATACTTGGCATGTAGGCAGTCTTTGGTACTCTGTGTGCGTTTGAACTTCTCTACCTTATCTACCTAAAAAACACGGCAAATCTCAAATCTGAAACATTTCAAAAGAAATTCTCTAAATTATTTCAAAACTAACAACTTTTCTTAGGTGAGGAGAAACTTGAGGTCTTAATTTTTGTTACCTTGCTTCAGTGTGTTTTGACTGATCGGAGTGTTTAAACACAACCCTAACTTTGGGCTCCAGCTAAATCCACAACTCTTTGGGAAAGAATATTACCTTGTTGAATTTAAATTTGGTTACAGGTATGCATCATGGTGAAAATCAGTTTGCAAAGGCAAAACTGCGATTTGCTACAAGCACAATCTCAAAAAGGTGCAAGTAAGATCAGAGTTTTGCTCAAGAGTTTTAAAAAGACTCCCCACACCACCGTCTACACACACAAAAGAAACTCACTCTACAGAAGGAATACGTGCTTCAGACTAAATGCTTTGTAAATGCAACACGTACTAGTTCAGCTCATACCTACAACATTACCTGTCTCATCATGCACTGTAAGAGTCCCCGCATCAGCTTCACAACATTCTGCAGGAACAAAAATCAGCTGTTACAAACAACATTTGAAAGTGACAAAGTTCCCACCCCCTACTAGCATCCTGCCAAAAAAATGCGTATTTTCCTGAAATGCTTTATATGCCTTTCTTTTTTTTAATATACTGGTTGATTTTTATTCCCACATCCCTATTTAGAAGAACAGATCTTTTCCCAAAGACCCTCTCTAAACAGTGGAGCAACTCTACGGTCCTTCTATCCAGCTGAGGAAGTAAGAGGAATGCCATGTCTTGTAAGAATAATAATGATGATGATTTTTAGAGTGACACATCCAGGGAACAATAGTAAATGGTTGCAAGACATTGACATGTTTGGAAAACCTGTGGAGTTTCTTCCGCTTTATACATAGTACAACAGAAAGCAGATGACTAATGTAAAGAAAGGGCCTTCAGTGTGTACAAAGAGAAGCACAAGATTTTGTCTTAAATGAAGAAATCAACCCCATCTTTTTATCCAAAAATTATTGTAGCCTCAAAATATGATCATGCAAACTGAGCTGAGGTTATTCTGTCACCACAGATCTCCCTTGTTTCAGCAGTACATGTCAGCATAAAATTTACCCAGTGCCTTCAAAAGAACAGCAGGACACTGACACCACCACTCCCCCACTCCCTATTAAACCACCTCTACACCCTCACTCTGATACCCACTTTCCCCATCGCACATCATAGAAATTAACTGTGTGAATTACCTCCCCTTCCAGTTCTCTAGCATGTGAGTCTTACCAGTTTGAACATCATTGCCTTGTCTGGTTTGATCAAACACGCCTATACACCATGTAGGGCTTCCATGAGATGACACAAGTGCACCTTTCAAAGACTGCTACTTTAAATGGCATGCTTCTCCTTTCAGGGAAGAATGGTCTAGCAGATAAATTGCTACCCTGGGATACAAGTGACCTAAGTTTGATTTTCTGCTCCACAATATACCTCATGAGGGATCTCAAGTTTTAATCAGAGGCTTGTAAATCTAGGCATAAAATCTCTCAGAAGCCTAATTTTCAACAATCAGCCAAGTGTGGAAGTTTGATTCCTTTACATATTTCTTTTGCTTATATTTTAATTCAGATGTTAGCCTCCCTGTCACAGTTCTCCCAATCTTGCTTGCCAGAAGGCTGCTGGGAACACCGTACGCTGTGCGCTGCATGAATAACAGCGTGCTAGGAACAAGACATGCACTCCAAACACCCTGCCAGATCCTAGTCAGAGCAGCAATGCGAATGCACCATTCAAAACCACTGCTGTGTGAAAAAAACAAACAGCATAACTAGTTTACACCAAAATGTTACATACCTGCTCGAGCTCATAGGCTTTGGCCTTATCTTCATCCCGGTCTGCATTCTTCCGATAAGCCATCCCCAGCCCCCACACGGCCAGGATGCTGTAGATGTTGTCCCGTACCCAAGCATCCTTATGGTCCGTACTGGCTGAAAGCAGCCCCGTAACTGGATTCTAACCATGGCAGAAGGAATAAAGAACAAACAGTACTACCTGAAAACCCATCTTTCCATATCAAAGGGTAACAAAGCAAAAGAGAGGTCCAACGATGATTCCACTCTGATTGCACACTGAGGCTGCTCACAATTTTGCAAGAGAAGTGAGGTCCCATTTTTCTTTCCCAAACTCACACAAGTGAAACACAAAATCTCTTTGAACACTTCAGAAAATAAAGCTTATGGTATCCAGCTGGGCATCCTCATCCACATAGGATTATTATCTAAGACACTGAGCGAAACTTGAAATACATTGAAGAAATAGAAATTTAAATGTTACCTATTTGTAAGGAAAAGATGGTACCGAGTTAACATTAGAAACTGAGTTTAGGATCTATTCTTTATGTAACTGGTCTGTGGCATAATCTTGAGGAAGTACAAAAAACTCTACTTCCCTTCTAGGAAATTAAAAAAGTATTTCTGTTTGTTTACCTGCTTGGTTTATGACAGCTAAAGTGTGAACGCATGCAAAGCCTTTTTATATCCTCCTTTGGCAAATGTACAGAAAGACAAATTGTGATGGTGTTGAAATGCAGCAGTGTCTGAAAACCAGCACACTGAGTAGTTTCCTGCATCCAAAATACTACATTAAATTTTTCATTGAATCATTAGTTCTCATCACTTTACTATCATTAATTTTTAAGACCATCTTTCTCAGCTGTATGTTCTTCACTACCAAAAAAAATGAGGTAGAGAGGCAAAAGGTTAATAGAGCTTTCAATCAAATCAAGCCTCTATAGCAAATTTCAGTGAATGAAGCCCAGTTGCCTGGACTGGTGTGATAAGGGGCACAGATTACAATAATAAATATAAGTAAAATTAAAAAGAACACATACACCAATTTCTCATTTCTGCCACACAGAAGGACTTCACTCAAGTCCTTCTGTAGTTATTTTTAAGAAAGAAGTTTTGAGAGGGAGGATCTTCAACTGCAATTTCCTGAGCTTTGCATGCGACAGCTGCACAAGACAGGGATGACAGCCTGACACGCATGGCTGGGCACCGTCAGTGCTATCGTTATGGTTTGAACACAGCAATGGCTAGTGGCTTGCTGACAGCAGAAACACGTAGTACTGCTGAAAGAGTTCTTCAGTACTGTCTTTACAGACCAACAGCAGAACCACCTACTCATCTATTTGCTGGGGAAAATAGCACATATGATCCCAAAGAGCTTAAAAAACTTCGTTCTGAACTTGAAAAGTTAAATCAAAGAGTAACAGAAGTGAGTGAGCAAAGAAAGGAGACCCCACTCCCAGTTCAGTGCTGCACCTGAGTGGTTAAAACCAGGATCTTGAAGGCAGAATGCATATTCCCAAGATTTTTAGAGGGCACTTTTTCTCCCTCCTCCCATGCAGCAAAGCAAATTTCTATGTACCTGCAGCCCTGGCTTGACAGCGATCGCCCTGCTGCCTGAGAAACTACCATTTGGGGGTTTTTTTCCCCACATTCCATGCTGGGCTGGATGCCAGCTGCAAAACAAAAATGCCTCCAGATACCAAGATGCAAATACCTGAAAAATGGCCCATGCAAGACTTTAAAAGACCATTTGGTCTCCAGGGAGGCACCTGCCTTCTTTCAAGAGGCTGTATTAAACACATCCAAGGGCAGTTATCACTATTTCAGCACCTCTGGCTCCTCTACAAGAAGGTTCCAGCTCTTGGGGCGCACTAGGGCTGGCTCTCATTAATGTCTTTCCTCATGCACATTCAGAATGTTAGCAGAACAACACACTATATTAATCAATATTTTAAGTGGTTTGGGTTTTTTTTAGAAAGTGCTTACTCTTAAAAACTACCATTATTTTCTTCTGTTACCTCCTGACACCGTATGAAAAATACAATCCCTACAAGTTGCTAAAGAACCCAAGGAAACACTGAGTGTGCTTAACCCTAAAGATGTTGAAGGGATTTTAGCTCAGCTAGCACTTCAAACCATTACGTCTACACAGTGATTGCTAATTGGACTACCGGGTCTCATCCTGCAAATCACGCTGCACATACAGATCCAAGAAGCAAAGAATTTCACCAGCACCCATGGGGTATGTGAGTTGAGAGCACCACAACAGAAAGCTGATTGCTGGACTAAAGCTTTAAACTGTTGTATCATGCCCAATCCTATTTTTAACCCTGCAAGGTGCCACATATGGAAAACTGTCAACCCTGGTGAGGAGTCCAGACCTGTGCTTTGAATGCATGTTTGCCTGGTAGCACATATATTCTGAATTAAAATTTGCCTCTAAAATAATGTTGATTTAGAGTGATTGGAATGAATGTAAGATCAATTGCTGCTACTGAGAGACGTGACCCCTGGTGTACTGAACACCTTCTTATCAAAACAAAATGTTCCTGAGCACACTATGCATTCTCCTCACTGCACCCTTATGAGAGCGAGCTCTCATTACTGCCCTCCATCAGAGCACACCAGCTGACATGCCAAGTCTGCACATCTGGCACACTTCTGGATGCATGGTGCAAGGTCACAGTGACACATCACCCCTGTGCTGAGCAGCACCTCAGAAGCATCTTAAATGCCTCCTGGCTCTTCTGCCACGCTGCTCCTGGGCAAACTGAACTGATGGCTTGAACTCCCATCCCTGGCTCCATTCTGAAAGGCACTGGCAAGGCACCACCAGTGAAGCAGCCGCCCAGCCCATCCTGCCACGAGCTATTCTGCTCCCAAGCAAGAGGAGGCTGCACGTGGCCCAAGGACAACTGTCCTACTTGCCCAAGCAAGCACTGCATCTCTTCAATCAGCTGAGCAGGGCAGTTTCAATCTATTGCAGTGGAAAACCACAATGAAATATATATAGGAAAAAAACCTAGAAAGCCACCATGCAGCATATCTCTGGGCCCTCTTGTAATATGGTTGTTTCTCTGCCTTGCTGCTAGCCTGTGACTTGTTTTCCACACACAGAAGAAAATTTACTTATCTCCTTTCCCCACTGCTGAACTCTCCCCAGCACTGAGCACTTAGCAGAAAAGGCAGCACTGAGTCATGAACATGCATCCAAGCACTGCAAATAGCAACTACAAAATCCTGGGTCACTGGTGTAAACTCCCATATTACCATTAAGCTACCCTTTTTATTATTGTTAACTACTAATATCATTAAGGCACAGCTTTCACAGGGCCTGTTTGATCACTGGATCTCAGAGGCTCCATCTCTCCTCTAATGGAGGCTGTTATCAGCATCCTCGTCCTACAAACATGAAGATCAAGGCAGGCACTGGAAGCAACTTGTCCAAAGTCATTGCGCAGACACAAGGCAGAGACAGGAACACAACTGAAAGCATCTCCTGCACCCCCAAAAATGACCTACTTGCACTATATCCTTGCATTTATTTCTAGTGAGTTTACAATAATTAGTACACAAACATTAATTCACAGGAGTCTTGACCCTGTGCCCACAACAGTCAGTGACAAAAATCTTACTGACCTAAGCAGATTTGGGTCCTAAGTTCTTCTTTCACTGCTTTCCAGTTTCTTGTAACTCTCAGCAACTAATGTATGGGAACTGATCTGCGCAAAAAAAACCCTGCTGCCCTCATCTTTATGTACCGCACTGTTTAAATTGACACTGCAAGCACAATGTGACTGGCCATGCTCAGAGCTCGCCTGGGTGAAGCGAGCACATCAAGCAGAGAGCGCTATGCTGCATGCTTATGCGTATGTGCTGGCCAAAAAAAACCAGAGTGGGGAATAGTTTTTTTCCTTACCAACTCTGACATCTTAATTCTTTTACTGCTCACCTATGCAGGCAGCCCTGCCACACAAGCCAAGGCCCAAGCAGCGTAACAGCAGGAGCAGTCGCTCCCCTGAAACTGACGCTCCACGAGTGGCACCAGCAGCAGGCTGGGGTCGGGAATCTCTCGGACATGCAGCACTGCACACACGTACCACACAAAGCACACACGCCAGCCACCGCGAACCCTGCTCTGTCCTGGATTCACACTGAGCTGATGCTGACAGACAGACATGTGTCAAAGGCCCTGCCAGGGAGCTCTGTGGTACTGGGACTTAAGAGCGTTAGGGGCATGTATATATATAGCGGGTGTGTATCATATGACCATGAACACATTCTCTAAACAGTGTTATTGTTTGCAAGCTCAGACTTACTCATTTTCCACGCATCTTCCAACGTGCATTTACACAATCCCCTAGCGAGCACCCCCGAGGATCCGCACCGCCTCAGCATTCCCCGCGCCCCTCCTCAGGCAGGGGAAGGAGGAGATACGGCCAGGAGGCCGTGCGCCAGGGAGAGAGGAGAGGTTTTCTTCCACCGGCCCCGCCGCGCCCCTTGCGCAACCAGGCTTCGGCCACCGGCCCCAGCCGCTCCAGCCGCAGACCCCCCGCGCCCCGGCCGCCGCCCCCAGCCCCGGCCCAGCGTCCCGCGCCGGCTGCCCTCACCTGGTGGCAGAGGATGGTCCGCTGGACCAGGCGGGCGTAGCCGTCCAGGCGCACCCCCGAGTTGCTGCGGCTCCTCATCGCCCCCCGGCCCGCCGCAGCCGCGCCTCCTCCGCCTCAGCCGGCCCGCCTGACAGGCCCGCCCCTTCCCCCCGGCCGCGGTCGGCGCGGCGGCAGCCGTTGATGGCGGCGGCCTCCTCCCTCCCTGACGGCCCAGACCGACCGCCCTCCCGCCGGCGAGGCGGAGCGGGGCGGGGCGGAGCGGAGCGGAGCAGGGGGCCCGGCCTCCTCCCTCCCTCCGGCCGGGTAGCGGATGCCCGGGGCGGCGGGAGCGGCAGATGGCGATGGCGGGCGGCCCCGGGGGCGGAACGAGCGGGAGCAGGCGCGCAAGCCCGCCGACCGCCAGGGAGCAGCGGCGCTTCCGCGCGAGTGGGATGCTTGAAATCCCCAAATTCAGCTTTTCTGGAGAACCAGCAGTCCTCCCCCTGAGCGGTGTTGGCAGCTGTTTTTGCAAGCCTCGGCGCGCTGCCCCGGGAAGCGGCAGGAGCGGGGCGAGCGCGAGGGGCGGCGGCGCCCGAGGGGCTGGCGGGCAGCCGCGGTGAGGCCGAGCAGCCGGAGCCGTGGAGACACAGGTGACAGAAGTCAGGCTAAACGGTCAAACATAAAGGCGGTTTTATACATCCTGATTTCTTAAGATAAAATGCAAAAGGCCTGAATGTTTGTTAGAAGCCTCATTTTTTTTTTTTTCAACTTTAAAAAACCACCGGTTTGAGATCTGCGAGAATGAAGGGCAAAAATAATGCAAGATGTTGTCAGGTATTTTCACACCCCAGCCTTGGCTTTCCAACTTAATGACAAGATTCAGAGATTTCTGATGGAAATGAACCTGTTGTGTGAGTAGGCAGCTCCCCGGGGGCATTTGGCAACAGGTGCTTTTGACCCGATTTGCCCTTGCCTGACTCCAAGCCGTGGTTCCCCAACACGGGTAGGGCAGGAGCGAGCATAAAGAAGTCAGGCAAAGAGAACTAAGGCTTGAAAACTTGACAAAGACTTGAGAGAAAAAAAAAAAAAAAAAAAAAAAAAAGACCTGTGTTACATACAGTTGCAAAATGTTCAGTAAGTTCCCTCTGTGCTCCTGACAACAGAAGGAAAAACAACAGTAAGGCGTGGATGGGTGCTGAAGCACAGAAAGGATGTTTCCGAGTAACTGGAGGTGTGGGATTCACTCAGACTTCAGAAAGGACTTCTTGTCTGTTTTTTTTTTTTTTCTTACGTGAAATTACTGCATTAACAAAGTCAATTTTGTAACTTTTTTTGCTGTGCTTACTTCACTGGCTGTGTAACTGACAGCCATGGTTGAGAAGAGTCTTCAAAGTAGGCGTGCTGGTTCAGCGTTGGCAGCTGGACGGCGTTTCTGTAGGTACTGCACAGCAGGGAGGGGACAGGGCACGGCTTGGAGGTCCATGAGCTCCATCAGCCAGAGCCTTGCAGCTGCAGCTCAGGGAAGGCCGCACAGCCTCACGACATGGACCGTGTCACTCTCCCCTGAACCCTGCACAAGCTTCCTGCTGCGGAGTGTTGCTTGGTACAGAGGAGGTTGCATACACTTGGGCAATGGGTCTGCTGAGCAAGCTGGTGCCAGCTGTACACAGCATGTTGCTGTTTATCTATGACCAAGTGTAAAACCTCCTTTCAGATGTCCCTGAGTTAGGTTTGCAGCCACTAACTGATGCACAGAATTTTACTTCATGGTCTGGGAAGGGGTTGCAGCTTCCATTGAGCTCTGGGCTGCCAAAGCTAAACTTCCTAGTGGTGCACAGGAGCTCAAGTACCAAAAGATACTATGATGCCCAATGTACAAACACTTTATCAGCTAGTTTACTGATGGTAATTATTCACTGAGCTAAAATAATATGCTGCTGAGATGCAAAATTTTACTACATTATGTGATTTTAAATGGCAAAGTCGGGAAAGACTCCCCACCCCCAGGAATGTATCAAATAAAAATTATTAAAAGAATCCCAACATATGTTAGTATGCAAAAATAAAAACAAGATTCCAAGCAGGTCAGTGACAGTGGAGTATGTGTTTTCATAGGGAATTTAATTACTGAAGCCAAACTCAGCTGTGTGCTTTTGCTCGTAGCATTCTTGTGGAAGACCTTCACCAGACTTCAGGGTAAGCATTGGCTAGACCAACTTATTTCAGGGTTTTCTCTGCTAAAAAACAGACGTCCTACAAGCATGAAGGGTAAAATATATGCAAGACAATAAATGTGAGGGCTAGGTCAGCATTTTATCCAAGAGGTTACGCACTGCAGCTCACGTAATCTGAAGAATTGTAACACAGCCCAGTATAGTGACACATTTATCTAAACGACAAAGTTTATCTATTTTAGGTGTTGTACTTGCTGTAAATTTAACAGGGTTTTTTACAGGTGAAAATATAAATACATGAACATTAAATAAATTTACAAGAAATAGTGCAAAGGCAATTAGCCAAACAGTTAAAGCATTCACAGAAATGCATTCCAGCTACTAGCATTCCAGTATGGTCTTTTATTAACATGCAGTAAAAACCTTGTGGATAAACACAACAAATACATTAAATTCTCACTTGAAAAGCGTATTCGGAGTAGTCTTGGACATAGATGACCAGAAGAAACCATGCATTGCATATAGAACCACAAGGGGGTTTGAGTACTGAAGAGGTTCAATTGCTGAACTACAGCAGAGCCCCAGACAGTAGGCATTTAATTGAAGCTTTTTGTTGAGTGTTTCCAGGGCCCACTACCAAGTCCTCTGGGAAAGCAGAGCCCTTGCTCCTCTCTAGCACGCATCTGCCTCAAAAAAACCCCTTTACAAGGTCTGGCACTCCACACTGTGGCACCAGTTGGGCCTAGCTCTTGCTCCAGGAGCATCCAACCTTTGCCCAAGAACACAAGGGAGAAAAGTAATGGCCACAGCTGCACACCTGTGTGAGGCAGAAGAGGCACAACCAGGGCTCAGGCTAATTTCTGTTCATGAAGAATCTTCATAATGTTGTATGGGCTTTCAGCTGTTGTGCATGAAGAGCCAAAATCCAGCTTTTTCAGACAACTATCAAAAAGGGGAATGAAATTTTGCTTCAGGTATTACTCAGCTAGGGCCTCAGGATTTGGCTTGCCAACCAAGGGCCAAAGTACAAGCAGAAATACTCATTAGGATAACTCAAGAGCTGCCCCTTAAAAAACCAGCCACATAATGAAACAAACAATTTCTTGGCTACTAAATATAGCAGCTAGCATTTATTCTCTGCATTTTTTCTTCAAAAACTAACACTTTTCTACTTTATCATTGCAAATGAGAAATGGCAGTGTGTTTAATCTCTGGAACCATCACTCAAGATAAAATATTGACCCTGCTGAAATCAATGGCAAAAGCTCCCACTGACTTACTCAAGCCACTAACATAACTTAGTTATATTTAATAACCTACTGACTACTTTATTTATCACTCCCTCATTCATGGTACTCTACTCTGATGATACCCAGTTTCTATCCCTCTGTGGTGTGCCAAGAGGTCGCTAAAGGTTCAAGACCAATAGCGTTTGTATTTACAGTTCTGTACCTGGTGAATATATTTAAACCAATGTAAGTGATTTCACTTACTGAACAAATTAACTTCTGTATCATTCTATGTTAAAGTATGTCAATTAAAGAAAAATGCAAACTTACAACAAAGCTAAAACAAAATACCAATTATTTTTTCTATACATAGGAATACTTAAATTTATATTACAAGAAATAAATATAAAAGTATCATTAAGTTGCTTAAAGATTGATATTTTTCTGTTTCTGTACAATACTATAGTTTGCTACTACAACATACAAAAAGTCGGAGACGGTGTAGCTAACACTCTTGAAGATAACATTGCTTGTATGCACAAGTTGTAACTTCCTACATTTATACAATACTACTATGCATTATATCCAGATAAACTTAGTTGTAATGAAAAAGGTCTAAACAAAACTTTCCTTTAAGTGTAAAAAACAACCTCAAACCTCTAATGAAGCATCAAAATGGAAGTGTGCCAGCTATAATTTGACATCCAAGATACCTTGTCAAAATAGTAGCTTCGTTTTTTTTTTTTTTTTCTTTTTAAATAATTGTTCTTGTCAATCCATTGCATGGCTGCCTTGAAGTTCCAGTACCATATATTAAATAAAATCAGTTCTTGGTCTGCTCACATTATGTAAAACTCTTGAAAGTAAATCTCTCCTTCACACTGTAAAACAATGTGCTGTTTAAAAGGAAATCACATTTTCTCAATAAAAGTTAGGCTTCCCCTCTTCGAAGTCTTTCTGAGCGAAATATGGCTTTTTTGGCTGCTTGTATCATCCTTTTCTTGAAATACGAGTTGTTTGCCTGAAAAGTCATGGAGACACACATCACCGTTCTGTACACTGAAAGAAACACCATTCTTCTCACTGGAATAATGGCCTGCTGAAACAAAAAAAGGGCATCCCTTAATCATAAAGGTTCAGAATCAAGCTTCCCATGCTTTTTCAGTCACTGTAGGGAGTTTATGCACACTTGTTTTATCCCTGTGACTATTTCAAAATACGGATTTTTCTGTACATATGCTGCATATACTTCTTTTCCTGTGTGAAATCAATAAGAGATTTGAGATGTTAATATATTTATACACAATAGTATTCCATATTTTAAGCAATGAAAGTCACAGTTCTCAGAATGTAGACTTTGACTTGGAATAAATATCACTCGGTAAGATACAAAATACTTCTCATTCTAGTTTTGCTTTAACAAGTTAAGTTCAAAAGGTTTCTCAGGTTTGCCATGCATCTGAAAGAAGAAAGTGTTTGAGAAAACAAGAGTATTTTTTTCCTTTGAAAGGCACTCAACTTGCAGCATTTATTTCTGGAGGACAATCAGAATATGGCCTGGGTCTGGTCATGAGTCTAAGCCATATTTAGTCTGAGAATCTTACACGTTTAGGTGAATCTGCAATGAACATGCATAATACCACCGCTGATTAAAGCCTATTAATGAAATGCTCCACAAATGCTCAGTTCACTGGAGATGCATCATGTTCTAGATAATTTTGATGAGAATTACATTTTTTTTATGGTAAGTATTTGTGCACATGCTTCTGGTTGGATTTAGTTAGTTAGTTAGTTTAGTTAGTTAGTTATGTTTGTGAAGCAGTCAAGTTTAAAAGATCTGCCAGCATCCTGATATCAGATGTATCATATCAGTAGGAGTAAATTATAAGGAATACCACAATTGGGAAAACAGAACTCGTATTTTTGGGGGAAGGGGATCATTTTGTTAAACACTGAGAAACAAGTTCACAAACACAGGTGCAGAGCTGTCATTTATCATTGAAACCAGAAACAGAATAAAAAACATAAAACATCCCAGTTTGCTATTTGTGTTAATATTCACAACACTTCATATACAAACGTCCTCACAATTCGGTAGATTTACTGAAATATGTTTACTGAAAAAACACTGGTGAGAAACCTCTAGACAGTGAAAGATGACTCTTACAGGGATCAAAATTTGATCCTCTCTAGTACGCCTGGATTCAGTCCATCAAATATCTCAATACCCTGGAGCAGAATTCTCCTTTGGGTCTGTCTCCCCTTTTCACTCTTACTTCCTCAAGCTTCTGAACCCTTCCAGAAGGCGCAATGCCTCATTAAAGGATGCTCTTCAGCTACTCCTTGCTTGGGTCACCAGAGGGAGAAGCATTTGGTGACATCCCTCCCCTGCACTTAATCCCTCCCACAGAAAGGACTCTGCTGCTTGAGTGACTGGGCTGGACTGCTCTTCCCTATAATGCTTGCCCAGGGCCCCCAGGCACACAGGTTTAGTATCAGTCTACCCAAACACTTCCTCTAGAAACTAATCCTTCACTTTAGGCAGAATTCATACCTTTCAGCATTTACCCTACTGTTTCAAGCAGATGCCAGCATATCAGCTGCATCAAAATCTCACTGGCAAACTTTTCTTTGAGAGGCAGCATTTTTTAAATAAAACATGAAAATGTATTTCTAGCTCATAAAGCTTACTACCAGTTTGAAGATGTAATGCATGTAACATCTCAGGATGGAAGTTTAAGGGAATGGGTTTGTGGTGATTGCTGTCAAAGATTACAAATTCCATGCCAAACTACTGAGCTGCCACTGGACCCACAAAATGGAACCAATGGCCCAAAAGATTATGCAAAACCTCTTAAATATAAAGCCTAATCTTTCATTACTAATTTTAAAGGTCATTAAGCACTTAAAGAGGCACAAATGTAACCAGGGTAAGATGAGCAAAAGAGCTCTGTTAATCAATTCAAATCAGGTAAAGACTGAAATGACAGAAAATAACCATACTTGCTGACACTGTGATTGTACATATATAGTTGTTTAATCCCCTGCCTGAGTATAAATGTTTTCTTTTAGAAGGAGTGTTCAGAATAGCTGTGCCCTAACGTTAGGGCAAAACTTGAGAAGAAAATAAGGCTAGTCTGTGAGCAAATTCAGAAAGATCATTTCCCCAGTGAGGACATCTGCGGGTTCAGCCATGTGATACCTAATGGTAGTTTCCCAAACATGCAAATCCATAAAGAGAAAATACAAGAACAAGGAAATACTAGTTTGCCATGAAAAGATGAAGTTAGGCAGTCCAGTAGGCAAGCAAAGCCACCGGATGAATGGACACCCCAAACTTACCATGGCAAGTCATTCAGTCTTGCATCTGGAACAGCATTTCAGTGGAAGTATTAAGGCCAAAACCATTAAGGGTTTACAGCCCATGACATTTATGACATAGGTCTTAATTTCTAAAGTGTTTTCGGTGTTCACTTTTTAAAATGAAGCACTGCAATGTTATTTTCAAGTTCTAGCTGTGAGAACAGGGAAATAAGGTTCAGCAAATAAGTAGATCCCATGTACCTATCTAACACCAGTCAGCTATCTTTTGGAGGCATTTGCCCAGCATTTCTGAGATACAACTGCCCTATGTCTGGAAAATTAAGTGTAAGGAATTGTCTCAAAGAGCTTTGCTGGGAGGACCAACTCTATCCAAGAATAAGTTTAGCGTCTTCTTGTGGAAGTCCTAATGACCCAGAAGAATTATTTAGTCAAACAAACTATGCAGGCAAGGTATCATACAACTCTTTTGATATGAAGGAGGAATGTGGTGCAGGGCTCACAGCATTGAAAACATACAATAAAATATGAGAGAAGATGAGGTGGGTCACCTGAGACATCTGCCTTCATGAGTGTATAGGAACAAAATTCTATCAAAGTTCTTTCAGCTGCTTCAGCTGAGAAACTGTTGGCACAGGACATACAGACTCTCACACTGGAAAGATCTAATAATGTGAATAAAGTAGGATAGAACTGGAACACTTCCCACAGAATTGGCATTGCTCAATGGTTTAGACTATCAATTTTGCATCTCATTCTAAAATACTACCCAAACCAACAAAAACTTGTTCCAGAAAGCCACAACAGGACCATTCATTCAGTTGCTAAAACAAACAAGTTCAATAAAACATTTCTGCTATCTTTCTGTTGAGAAAAGTAGACAAAATGCTTTTGTAGCTGCATATAAGCATCAAGTGTTGCAGGGAGAGGTGGCATCTTTCATCAGAGTAACTAACATAACTGGAAAAAAACCCCTACAAGACATACAGGTTTTTGTGCCTGAAAATTTATCTCTTTGAAATGTATTCCTTCTACCTAAAAATATTGCCTTGCTTTGCATTTGATGACAGTGAGTTACTGGATTCTGGTTCTCAACTGACCTGCTAGATACAAAGTCTGTTAATTACTTCATTGTGTGTTATCCAAACAGAAAGGTTTTATAAAGGAATGACCAAAAAAAAAAAAAAAAAAAAAAAAGAGGAACTAATTTTGGAAAGCTGTTCAGGTTACATCCAAATGCTATTTCCTGAAGCATTGTGAACTCTTTACAATAGACAGCCAGTACATCCAAATGGACAGTAACCTATTAAAGGTGCAACACATAAGAATTTGCTGATAGCTCTTACTCTGTACATCTGAGAGATTATTTGTGCTGAGATTACCCCATTGATATTATCTGCTGTCTTCTGATGGCATATGCCAGGAAACAGGAACACAGCCTCTGTGAGTATGTTCTACAGCTTCATACTGAACAACCTGGCTGATGGCATGACTTCTTAGCCTCAACTCTTGATCACTTAGGAAAAATACCTCAGGCACGCAAGAGTAATGTCCTGTAAGCTGTGCTCAGTGTAGGCTTTTATACATTACAGATTTATAAGTTATTTTTCTCATTGAAAAATTGTCTTTATTGAGAGCTCAAACCAGCAGCGTGATGTGTGTCCAGCAAGAGTGTGAAAAACTAGAATATGTCCATTGAAAAAAGTATTTTAGTAAGTATATTCAGTGGAGATTCATATCTAGCTTTCTCAATAGACAAGTAAGCCACACCAATTTGCAACTGAAGTTTTCCAAGTGGAATTGACTGGAGTGCTACGGACACCTGCATTTCAGCTTCTTAGGAACAGAGCAGAGGGTAGCAGGTGAGAGGACAGTACTGTGTTAGGACAGGAAGGATAGGAATTTTACTTCTGAAGAATTGTTTCCTGCAACAAAGATATATTTCTGTTAGGCAAAAACATCCTTAAAAACCCCACAGGTGAAATAAAGAGCTATACAGGAAGTCAGTTGCAATACTCTGAAGGCAACAGTGATGCAGCCCTCTCAGCAGCGCTCTCTTTAATGGGGTGATCTTACACCATTTTCACTTACTTTTCCTCTCATAAGTAGCTTCCATGTGAGCATTTAGTTAAAGTTCTTCCTCATACTACCTCCCACATGATTTCTTTCATTCTTTCAAGCTATATTATTATCCTGTATTTGTTTCTTCTTCAGGCAATGTTTGTTTTAATAAGGTTTAAAACATGAACTGTTTTAAAATATGCTTGAAGTTTATTGTCATATATTCAGGTGACAAAAGTGTTAACAGCAGCTTCTGGTAATTACTCTAATAATGAATATTACTTATGATTTGATAGATAAATCAAGAGTTGCCATTGAGTAGAAGAAATGGATATTTTAAAACTTTGTCTGTAGTTCCCTAAAACAGATGTGTGGTACTACTTCTGAGGACATCCTGAAATATTCTGACCCTATATTTATGAATAATATTTTTTCAGCACTTCACTTTACATTAGCATGAAAGAACATAGCACTTCTGTTTTAAGACAAGAAAAAAAATAGCTTGAGAAACACTATTTTGCATTATACATACCATTTCCATTCGCGTGCACTGAATAATCATTATTCATTAGCAATGTTGTAGAGTTAGTAGAGTTACTGTTTGATTGTAAGGAATTGGAAGAACTGGATACTCCTTGATTTACAGTCTGCTTCTTTAAACCATTAGTAGCAGTTCTACTCCAGTCTACAATAGATACATGTTACAGAAAATAGCACAACTCATACAAGCAATACATTAAAAATATAGTTAATAATGCAAGCAAATTAAAATAAAAACAGGGTTTTACCCACTCTCCTCACAGCATTCTAGACAGAATTATATTCTCCTAAGACTCTCATGATTCCTGATGTTTAAAATTTTTTAAATCTACTTTTTTCTCTTGTACCCTTTCTAATACCAACAGCCAACTGTCATAGTTTTACAACTACAGACCAGATCAGAAAAATAAAGTACAGTTGATCCTCTAAGTTAAAGTTTATAAAAAGTATTTAGCTTTATTAAGAAATCAACTAATGAGTAACAAAATAACATAAAATCATTTATAGCTTTTTTTTTTTTGGTTTAAACTATGCTTCACCTTGTTTTTGCGGAAGTTACTGGTAAAACTACAGTTGACGAAGATGGAAATCTTACGGTTTGTAACTGATCAAAAGTATTCTGCAAAGACATGCCTTTATACTGCAGTGGAAGAGATCAACTGCAGTTAACAGCTTAATGCAATAGCATGTAAGCATTAAGAAGTACATCTACTACCACTTTTAGAGAGTATAATATTGGAGGTTTATTATACCTTTGACAATAAATTAGAATTGCAACTGCAGCATCATGATTTATTGATTTTTTTTTTTAAAGTATTATGAAATACTAGGATCTTAACACTGAGTATAAGTATTCAGAAATAAAAAAAAAAAAAAAAAAAAAAGAAACATTTGCATTTACCAGAGTTTTCAGCCAGCCTGAACTTCCCACAACAGAGATACCTTCTCCATTGTTTACGGACATTCTCCTTTGTTACACAATAGAAGATAAAAATGAAGAACCCTGCAAAGCAGTGATGTTAGAGAATGTTGCAACACTGACTTTTACTACTTCTTAATGAACAATGTTTTGGTTTTCTTTTATTTTTTTTAAATCTCTAATCAAAAGTAATGACACCTTTCTTTAGTGAAAAAGTTTACAACTCTCAACACTGAAGACTACTTTTCCCTTACATCAACAACAGGAATCATACACACAGATGCAAGAACAATAAATATAACCAAATCCACAAAGTGTATAAAGTTTTCTTCTATCAAACAAGAAGGGAGAAATTCTGTGGATCCTGAAATTTCCTTAGCACTTTTGGAAAAGAATTGAAAGCAGTGTCAAACAGAGAGTATGATACGCACTGTCAGGCTATGTTGCTGTGGTGTGACACTGTCCCATCTTTTATTAGCAGATAACCTCTTACCAACTGGAACAGAACCAATAACACTACGAAATTTTGAGCATTCATACAAAGAAAACAGCTTGTATCTAAAATAACAATAAATGGTAGCCCCTTTACCACAAATTCAAAGCCAGATATTTTCTAGAAGGGATGAGGCTCAACTCTGTCTCTTGCCAGTGCCACATTACAGACTCATTCTGAATGCTTCTCATTCACTTCTAATTGACACAGGGCAGGATATAACTTTCCCTGCTTAGAAGTCCATCGTCATTGTCCCCCTTTAAGGAAAAGTGGCACTCAGTCTGCACAGTTTTCCAGCTGTGATGTGTCCCTGAGAACAGATGTGTTACATTTACAATGAATAGAAAATAACATGAAGGAAAACTAAATGATCCGACTGGTGCAGGCACACATGTATGTTATGTTTACACTGCTTTTAAGGCCAGTTAAGCATGTTAAATCCCGCTATAAGAGATTACTCACACCTTTCTTTGCTTAAGTATCTTTTTTAACTTTGGCTTTTAGAATGAAGTTTTGAATGTAACCAAGTGTTGCTCTATACAGACAGTTCTATACCATTTTCAAATACAGTTTTGCAACACTGGCATAAGCTTAAAGTCAGTACAATTTATGCACCTTTATTACTTCTAATATCAAAATCTGCCCAGCACCTACCTGAAAATTGGGTAAAGGGGGAACTTAGCTTCACATAACAGATTACTCTGACCACACAGAATCTAGTCTTGTGTTAGTTCAACAAGATCACATGCAAGACCTGGGAAGATGTGGGTTCAACCCCTCAAGTTACTGAAGAGTAAGTTACTCAAAAATCAACAGAGCAAGTAGGGGAGGGGATATATACACTGAGCTGCAATTTTCATTGCTTTAGTCTCAGGGAAATCATCCAGCAAGTCATCTAAAGAGCCATTTAATCAGAAATTTGGTTCCAAACTTCAGTAGGACAATTCAGGTAAACTTGATAACTGTAGGCACCTACAGTACCTCCTATTTATATGAAAGCTTTTGCAGCCTCTGAAACTCTGCTTTTGGATATGTCCAGTAGCATCCTGGTGTTTGCAAAGCTGCATGTCTTCACATTTACTTCCTGTATGTTCTTAGGTACTAAAAGACATGCTTAAGAGTTAGATGGGTAACTTTTAGATGTTGCAGCCTTGACTATCTCAATGGACCTTTGTTGAATGCCACACCTCACACCTAAGCCCTATGGGTAAGTAGAGAAATGACACAGTTTTCACTATATTAATTGCATTAATATGTGAACACTTACAGTAACTGAGTATTTACAATTGATCTGTTGACTAGAGAAATACAGTCACTTCCAGTGGTGTCTGGCTTGCATACATTCTAGAAATTACAATATTTATAGATCTAAATATACTATACCTATAAATAGAAGCTAGCTTTCCTGTACCATACCTTAACTATAATTTAAGATTACAATAAAGCAGTATGATCTCTAATTTAATTAACATGTTAAAGCATGTATCAAAATTACATCTTCATTGCTGAATCAAGAAGATGCCATTTCCAAATGATCTGTTCATTGTATTGTACACAATGGGCTGTCACATGAAGGATAAACTTACCTTGCAAAGTGTTGAAAATGGTAAAGAGGTAAGTAAATACCTCATTTACTGTGAAGAAAGCAAATCCCCAAGTAATTCCCAACAAGAATGTGAGGCCAGCAACACTCCTAAGGTCTTGAATACTGGTTTTTCTTTGAGCACCAAGTTGTTTTTTCTTTTTGATACGACAGAGCTGGATCAGCACAACAATGAACATGCTGATATTGATCAGGAATATCAGGCAAAAGTATCCCACAGCAGTAATATAGAAGACAATTCGATTTTTAATCCAGCAGCTAGAATGCAAGAACAGTCTGTCAACCATTATCAGAAACAGAAATTAAGTAAAATAAACATGAGATAAAGCTGTAGTTTGTTGCACAAGCAACCATTTTGCCTCTTTAGTAAAAAGTATTATTTTGGCCAAAGAGTAAGAGATTTCATATAGGCAAAAACCACAAAACACATGACATACTGTAGAGCTATACCATTTCAAAATTCTCCCGTTGCTTCCTTCCCCACCTTTACTTTAAAAAAAAAAAACCAATTTTGTAGGACCTCCCTCCCACCCATGCCCAAAAAAGCACTTCCCTTTAACTCACAATTCATCAGGTCTGTTTACTGAAACCTTTCCAGTGGTTATAAGTCCATAATTATCTGGTGATACTGCCAACACGATGGACACAACTACTGCTGGTAACCCTAAAAGATTATGAGCAAACATGTAAGTGAAAATCATGCCTATGACAGTATTATGAAGACTTTAATTCATTACATTTTTCTGTGAAATCTACAACTTGTTTCTGAAATTTGTCAGTTGAATTCTGTTGACTACTAGCTGTCTGAAAGAATCTAAAAACTGGAGCATTCAAACCGCTCAGGAGTGTAACTTGCCAAGAAACAAGAAGTCTTCTCCACAGCTAGCTCCAAACCTTTCTGAATAAGGCAACAAATACCATCACTCATCAAACTGATTTAAAACATCAAATAGAGCATACCCGATTTTATTTCTTACATCTCTTTTAAGAAAACAATTCTGTTTATTAAACAATTCTTTTAGTGCCTTCACTCATATTAACTCAAGTGGCCAGAGAGAATAATTTGGTCCAGAATCTCTTTATCCAGTTAGATCTGTTCTGCTGCTTTTTGTTAGCAACAGTGCTATATATGGAATATATATATTTATTGGCATTTATTTTCAAAACACAACTGATGCCATCCATCTGGTAAATGGAAATGGAAGTATGCACATTCGTAATTGTTTCTATTGTACTTGCAGAAAGAAAATTATCAATTTGCATTGCAGCCTTCTCAGTTCTGCGGTTAGTGGGGAGTTCCCTACCTCAGAAAGGTAGAATATATAGGATCAGGTTTATTGATAATGACTACCTGGTCACTGCAAGGTCATAACATTTAATGACTGCTTCATTTTCATTTCTGAACTGTGCCACATTCACTGAAATACCTGATAAGAGGATTTATCTATTTAGCATCCAGAAGGAAAAAAAAATACATACCCCAGCCAACAATGCAAAATTTTAGAATATATTTCCGTACATAGGTATTAAAGACTTTCACAAGGGCCAGATACATGTGGAAAGCTTCTAGGCCCATCCAGGTGAACGAAACCAAGAGGAAATAGTGAAGAAATACTGCAACTGCAATGCACAGGCCTTGTGTATCATACAGTGCAATCCATGAATCAAGGAGGAAAACTAAGTTGAGTAGAAGTAATGCAGTACACAGCTGAATAAGAATTTTGGAGGGGTAGTCTCTCCGGATTTTCCTAAAAAAAGCAAATCAGTGAGATGACATCAGTTGCCTATGGATCCCTGGCTTACTTTCTCTCTTGTAGTCTTAGTCTTAAATCATCTTCTTGATTCAGCAATAAAGTGCACAAATGCCAAGAAAAAAATATTTATATATTTTCATTCATATATAATGCTTCATATACTGCATTTATATGTGGAGAGAGTAATTTTAAAAATATTTCCAAATTAACAATCTGTATGAATAAACTTTGTTGTAATAAGCTTACATAAATACAAACAATAACTTGGATTCTTAGAGTTTAGTACCATGATTTTTGTTTTTTTGACATTGTATGTTGGATTCCTCCTTCCAAAAACCAAAATGTGACTGTTCTTTATTGCTAAACTAGATTAGGCTTTTGAGTGGGCTTCTAAAGCCTTGATAGAGACAAGTTAAGTCGTTGATGACAGGATAATGTGAGAATAAACATGCTGAATAACTTCAAGGAAGATTTCCAAAACATAGCATAGAAGATTCAGTCATTAAGGCTCAAACATAAGAAAACATTCCAACAAACAACAAAGAATACAAATGTGTTTAAAAATGCTATCATTCTGCACTGCTTTATATATGTTGTATCTTAAACACATACTTTCACAATTCTATTATGTAAATCATTATAAAATATTTAAGAGTGCTACTTCTTCACTTCTTACTGCATAGAGCCTCATGATTAATTCACTTGTAGACAAGATTAACATTCCTGAGGACTGAATCAACACCTTCCTGGTAAATTGGACAAATTTGTGCATTATTAATGGAGATGGAATCCATAACTATTGGGTAGGACTTTGCAGTGAAAACTACAGGCAATCATAATTGAAGAATAATGGGAGCTTAGCTGAACAGGTACTTACTCAAAGGCTATGTAAGTCACAAGAGTAATAGAAAGAAAAATTGCAGAGAGGCCACAGCCTATATAGGATATAAAAGTCAGTACCAATTCTTGTGTTGGATTCAAAGGAGTATTTCCATACAAGTTCTAAAATGGAAACAGAAGTTAATTTCAGAGAGATGTTTATTAAATGGAAAAAGATCAAAACAAGTCACAATGAACCTTTCCCTCTGCAATTAAAAAAAAAAAAAAAGGAAACAGTTCTTTTCATCATGGATCTTCTAAAAGGTTGACTGAAAAACAGAAAAGCCAGTCTAGTCCTGTGAGAAACAGGGAGTTGGACTCGATGATCCTTACGGATCACTTCCAACTGGAGATATTATGAGTCTATGATTCTAATTGTGAAATCCCATTCGATTAAAAACCTGTTTTAAACTTGATTTATCCTAATTTTTATTTCCTACAATATAAACAACTGCCTAAATGTAAAAGTTGCAGCTTAATAAGCACTTAAGGAATTTTTTATTCCAGTGGAACTCTTGGACCTCCATTCAACAAGCAGCTTAAGCATGTGACTAATTGTATAGCTAAATGTGCTAACACTGAGATGAATAGAACCCAAGTAGTATTTCATAGGTGGTATGTGCTTACTGAATACTCATTTGCTTAAGATAACACATGCTTAAATGTGTTATTGAACCAGGGCAAGATTGTATAAGTTTTTAAATAATTACCATCAAAACTGCAAAGCTTGTGAGGTGGTTGCATGAACAGATTGTTTCATTTACTCTACTTTCTTTAACTATGCAACCTTCATATGACCAGCCTCCATGTCCACCTGTTAAAGAAAACAGCTTTGTTATTCATAAGAGCCTTTATTTATAGTAACATGAGTTAACATAGCCAAAACAGCATGGTATCTCAGATGATATCACGTACTTACCATTTTTATTAAAGTCCCAAAAAACACACCTAACTGTTGAATTATCCTGTTTAGAAGGTAAAAAAAAAAAAAAAAACAACACATTTTACTAACTCTGAGTTTATCATCAAGTAATTTATGAACTATCTACAAAATGCAGCCAAGAATAAATACTATATACAGCAAATATAGCTGTTTTACATTAATGCAAAATTAATTTAGGTGCATAGAATGGATTAATATTGCAATATGCAAGTGAAAATACACTGAAAGAATTTGAAGTTACCATACAGGATCTAGCTCTCATGCTTATGTTAAGATTCTGTTCCTGGTAGGACACTATGAATACCCTTTCATTGTCTTCCCACACATACAAATTCTTGAGATTTCTCATCCTTCCTGATTTTGTAAGTATCAAGAACATGACCACACAGAAAAGAACAAACTTTTTCATTTGCAAACATATGATCACTTTGTATTACCATGATGTTAAAGGTTTACATATAGATTTCCACACACACATGGAAATCCTAAAAATAGTAACAGTAATACACTATACTGCTATAAATACAAATACTTCTACAGTTATATCTCAAAACACAGTATTATATCAATTCAAGCAAAGACTACACTAAGACAGTTCTTGAAAAAAGCTTCAGGTACATTAGTGGAATGCCTAAACTCTTCAGTTTAAAATATTTTAGTATTTTAAACTCTTTTAAGATATGGAACAGAAGACTTTATTCCTTGATGCTCATTTAGGAATGAGATGCTGTATATAAGCCCTAACACTTCCAGATGACACAATCCTGCGTTACAGTTAGAACATTGTTAGAACAACATTCCCTTAAAAAACTAAGTAAATATTGCTTTCTGGCCATGCAGCATCTACAAATCTCATGACTGCAGCACCTCTGTAGCAACTCTCATTATCATGCTTTCTTCTAAGAGTTTTTATTCTTTGAAAAATAAAACAGAATGGGATGTAGGAAAGATAAAAACTGGATGGATAAGTGATAGAGCAAAATTACCTGAAACCATTTGAGAACAAAAATTGGTATCAGTGATAAATAAGCAAAGATAATTGATTTTCAAAGTCCAGATGGAGATGAAATGTCCACACTAGTAAAGCAGAACCAACCAATATGTATTCTTAGTACAGTGTTTCTTCTACAGCAACTCTAATGGAGGCAACAAAATTGTACTTTAAGTCTGCCAAAATGTAAATCATACCTGATTAGGTTTGATATTCTGTAAAGTGACTGTAACATTTGCCTTTAAGTTGCTAATTGTAAGGTTAGCAACACTTGATGATATAACATTGCTGATTAAAGATGCATTCTTCAAGGACAGATCCTGGAATGACAAAAAAGAATCGTACTTCAAAATCTTAAAGAAAACAGTAGTAGACTACAGCACCCACAAGCTCAGTTATTATGCAGAGTGAGCCTTCGACAAAAACAATTACTTTTTAAAACAGGAAGTTTTGAAATGTGATTTGTGGAAAAAAAGTCCATTCATATTTTATGGCTTGAGTTTAAAACCCTTATGAACAGAGGATCAAAAAGATACCTGGAACACAGTGGTCTTTTTAAAGAAGTTGAATATAATTCTAGAAGCCAAGTCCAACTCTTCAGGGCGTAAATTTGTCAGCAACGATGAAGGAAGTGTAATTGATCCGAGATTGTTCAAATCATTAATTGCATTAATGCCTAGAGAGATCTGAAAAATAAGTTCAAGGATTATGCTTCATTTCAGTTACAAAAGAAATTTGAATTATGATTTATTTTCAGTTTAGAACTTCAAAATACATATCTCTATAATCACTGTCAGGAACTCACTGCTGCTCTCTCATTCCACTCCTGCTCCAATGAATAAATAGCATTTGCAGGCCTGAAAAGGATGCAACTCATTTCAGGTCTGCCTACCACTGAAAATACCCTGGCTTTACCCATTTGCTTACAGGGACAGAACACATCACTGTGGTGGATAATATTGATTTGAAAAAGGTAAAGAGCAACAACCTAGTTAGGTCTATGTAAGTAGTAGGGAAATTAACATTTCACAGCACAGAAGCCTGCAAAGGCAAAAATTTTTATACCCATATGAAGTATGTCAGAATTCAGAAAAACTGTAAATAGTCATTATTTGTCAATAGGTTTTTAAGTATAGTCGGTTAAGCAGAATCTAAGAACATAAACCTGAACTTTATGATCATCTGGCAAAAATGACAAAAATAAACTGAATAAGCTACAATTCAGATACCTCAAGAGCTTAGTGATCTAACATTATAAAAAAAAGATCTGAACTTTCACCCAGTTTTCTGTGCTGTACTTACAGGACAGAGCACTTTGTTCAGTACAAAATCTCTAACATTTTCTTGTCGCACATTAGTCACTTCACATACAAGTATCATAAACTCAGAGTTCCTGAGAGATGTGAAACATGAGCAGAACTGAAGAAATTATCTGTGTATTCAAAGATGACTGTAATAGGAATAATAGTGAGCTCCCCACAGTGCCCTAACAATATGGTTTAATGCTTCTGTTTAGTCCAGTGATCTCTAAACTTTTTTGATCATATACCCAGTAGAAGTTTTTGAGCATGCACCCCAAAATGTATCTCTTTCTAAGCTATATGCATGTATTACTGTACTAAGATATTACACGTTATAAAGAAACACAAAAATAGATATTTTAAAAGGATGAGATAAAGATTAAACATTTTTAAAAGATGTATTTTTTATTTATTAATCATATAAAAAATATTTTCTTACCACACCCCAGTGGAGTGTCGTGTGCACACCCTGGGGTACTCACACCCCACTTTGGAGATCACTGGTTTAGACAGCCAGCAAAGAAATACCAAATCAATTCCACAAAAGCATTCCTGTTGCTCCGGTTTGAACTAGATGATACTTTTTAAAAATTCTCTGTATTTCATTGCCAGTGTCATGAGATTTTCAGAAAATCATTACTGAACAAAGATCTGTTTTTCAGCACTACCACCCCCTAGTCACTTCACGTTCATGCACCACATACTGCTAAACATTTCATATAATTTTCAGTATCACAGAACAGTTCCACTACTACTTATAGCTGACACTACATTAAGCTGTTTCCTTCTCTGAGAGGAGAAAATGTGTCATAATTTATCCAGAACTTTCCATCTCTCCTTGATTAAGCCTCCAAGGCTAGTATTGCCCAAATTATTATTTTCTCAAGCAGGAGGGAGGTTTTGAGTGAAACAAAGTGGATCCAAACATTTTAAGCACCTCTTTCTTAGCAAGACCAACTAGTCATGAGTGACAAATGCATGAATGTCATTATCCAAGCAACATAATAGTTCCTTCCTGGAACCCTCTGCAATTAATCTCCTGCTGACAGTGCTAACACTCCTTGACAAATTTCAGCACTGTCAGGGTGCGTGATTAAGTGACTTAAGTGATTCAGGGTTTTTGGGGCAAAGTTATTCTGCCAAGCACTCTGTCCATTCCGGTGTTCTGGCTGTACCCTCTCTAACAGCTTATTAGTCAAGTACCAGTTTCTGCTAAGCCTGTTTATTTACACAACAGAAAATCAAAGGAAAAACTAAGGAGGGCTTCAAAAACAAAGTATTTTTTCTTTGAAACTAACACAAACAAAAGATCCTGAAATTGTGACATAAACACAGAACAAACTCATGTTAAACATAAATGTAAAACCATAAATACTTAAAAATAAATGTTTGAGATTTTCTAAGTATTTAGAATTATCAGTGTTTAACCTGCAGATCAGCTGAGTCCTGGACAGCAAAAGACATTTGGTTGGAGCGGATGCTATTGGTTTTGACAACTGCTAGAGCCAAGGAAGGGGAGGCAAAATCAGCTGACGTTGATGCGAAGTTCAATTTTAAGCCAATATAATCCACCAGTTTTATAATTCTGTTAAGAAGAAGAGATACTTAGTATTACCAAGCACATACACCCCCAATTCTCACGCAAGTTGTGGTTATGGAGCAGTAATCCAAGCATAGTGTAATGACTCTGCTCACTCATTGTGCTGTCAACACAAAAAACACACCGTTTTCCATGGCATTATATTATAGCAGAGCTGGTAATACTAGAATGACACTCCGTCCATTTTGTATAAGTACATTAAAGAACAAGAAATATTCTTTTGGATTATGATTATTTAAAAATAAAACTTGCTGAAGCCAACTTATCAAGACAGTCAAAACAACACACCTTCAATCTATTGCTAGAATGACCTACCTGTTAGAAATTCGGGGTGGTAATGGCTGAGAATCAGTCAGGACTTTGCTAACCTCACTAACCATTCTTTCTACATCTTTTGGTTCTACTTTTCCAGCTGCTAAATCATTTTCTATTTTGGACACGATTTGCTCAGCTGTGGTGATACTAATGGTGGTATATACAGAAGTTGTGTATGTGGTAGCTGATAGTATCTTTCCTGTGACAAAAGAAAAATCGTGCATTTATTTAAACATTGTGTTCAACAAATGAAGTACGCTTTGAGGAGCAGAAAAAATAAGCAGTTCTTGTGACCAACAAACCTTATCACAACTTGTAAGGTCTGTCAACATGTTATGTGAGACAGAATCCCTTTTTCCCCTTTTGGCTACTTTGCAGATAGCAATACTTTAAATCATATGAGAACATAAAGCAAGGTTTCAAACAGCCAGCATTAATTCCACTTTTTACTGATTAGAGAGTTCCTCACATCAGACTATTAGTGATGTTAAATAATCTATTATTTTGGACTTTTAGCCACTGGATGCCTGCATGTAGAATAAAATCAAGATAAGATCAGCAATTTGAAGAGAATCTTGCAAAGATGCATACAATCTTCATAGGAAAATTCATAGCCACTAAGACTACTCCTAATCAATAACAATATTTTAAGGAAGATCTAACATTGATTTGCAATATTTTAAATACTAACTTAGTAAAAAAAATAGCTACTTGGCTCTGTGACTTAATCTTTTCTGCCAAAGGTACCTGCTGGGAACTTGGCACAGTACCTATCTATCACAGTTACTAACCAATTCATAGGGTGAGGTATCACTCATCATGGCCAAAGGCATCAGAATGTATTTTAAAATAAATATACACCTCATGAGAGTTGTCTCAGGTTTTTCACAGTACCTGGAAGGTCACAACTCAGATATAATCTTGTTTAATAAAGTTTAAAAGCAAATTCAGTATCTGGCATTCAAATTTAAAAAAAAAAAAGAAACAATTTTATTTGTCATATTTACCTGTGCTCCCATTAGGCAGGCTATCGTGGCCATCAGCAGTAGAATGGGGATGAGCAGCTGAGACAGAATGGTTGACAGGACTAACAGTAGGGGTCAAAGTTATTGTGAAAGGAGTAAGGGGAAGAATAGGTGCTCTAGTAGCATTTTTGGTACTAGAAACAGGTTGGGTCGAATCTGTAGCAGGATGAATTTGTGCAACAGATTTAGTGGTAGTCTTAAAGGGCGGAATTACTGTTGAAGGTTTGGGGGGAAGCTTAGAAGAGGAAACTGCAGAATGCTTAGTGAAACCTACAGAAGAAGAAATTATTTTAACGGGCTTGCTAAGATATACAGCATCAGATTTAATTGAGAAACCAGCATTAGTGACAGATTTTGTTGCAGGTGTAGAAACGGTGGCCGGTTTGTTAGAAGCTATGGAAGGAAAAGTTGGCATGGCAGGTTGAGCATGAGACTCAGAAGAGGAAAGCATAGTGGTAACACTGGTGGTAGATGTGGAAGTTTCAGTAGTAGATGTGGTGGAAGTTTCAGTAGTAGATGTGGTGGAAGTTTCTGCAGTAGACGTGGTGGAAGTTTCAGCAGTAGACGTGGTGGAAGTTTCAGCAGTAGATGTGGTGGAAGTTTCAGCAGTAGATGTGGTGGAAGTTTCAGCAGTAGATGTGGTGGAGGTTTCAGAGAGAGGACTTGTAGTGGGAGATGTGGAGAGAGTTCCAGAAAAATAAATTTCTGTGAATGGTGGGATCAGTGGTCTAACTGTGGGACTTTGTTTGGTAGAAAGCATAGTGGGGGAAATAAAAGTATTAGAGTGGGGGGAAGTCTTTTTAGGGAGAGAAGAAGAACGAGGGAAAGGAACCCATACAGAATGAGGTGGCACTTGTATAGAACTGAAAAAAAAAAAAAAAAAAAAAAAAGCATAGAAGTGCATGTTAAAATTTAATATTTATATTTTTCAAGAAAATGAGTTATAATATAGGAATATATACAAATGATCTGGGCATACTACTAATAATGTGTATTTTAAAATCAATCAGATTGGATGTTTCATGCTCTAGTAACAAACATGAATTCTGTAATTTTTGAGGGTTCTTACATTCTATTTTGCTGTAGTTCTTAACTAGCAAGTCCATGAATAGTACTACTGCCTTTGCTGACTATTCTGGAGTTGACCTGATGCTGAACACCAAAGTTATCTGCATCAGGGGGGAAAAAGAGAAAAAAAAAGAGAAAAGAGAATGGAAGAGAAAAGGAAGAGAAGAGAAAAGGAAGAGAAGGAGGGGAGGGGAGGGGAGGGGAGGGGAGGGGAGGGGAGGGGAGGGGAGGGGAGGGGAGAGGGGAGAGGGGAGAGAGGAGAGAGGAAGAGGGAGGATTGGGGAGGAAGCTATGTAGGAAAATGGCAGGTTGTTCTTGTGGAGTCCTTCCTGGCTATTACACTGCAACACTGCAACATGGAAGTTGACTCTACTAATGCATTAGGAAATTTAGGAAATAAGCAAGTCAAATTTTGTATTTATACTTACTACATTCGTAACTCTTCAGCAGTCAAGAAACAATACTTCGGTGATGAACAGCAGCACCGTTCTGAGATAACAAAGAAGCATTAACTTAGTTTATCCTGAAGCACAAAAATTGCTAATACTGTTAAGAAGGATATTCAAATAAGCATGTGTTTTATGTTTATAAAACAATTGTGGTTATTGCACAATTGATTTTTTCTGAAATTACATTTGCAAAACAGATCTTGACCAGTCAGAATACTGCAATACCCCCCAGATGTTCCTCAGTGCCTAGTAAGTACAGATTTTCCTTTTTGTTATTGTAAACAAACCAAAATGTAAAGCTACATCTTTTGAAACAGAGACAAATGGTATGAGTCACCACTCCATACTATCACAATATCACTAAGAAAGCTTGGCTACTTTATAACTTTTCAATCCAGATCACCATTTCAGTTACATATTTATGTTCTCAAGTAATGTTACACCTAATCCTTTCAAAGTCTGCCTTATTAATGTGGTCAACAATTTTATACCAAAGTTTTTTAGTATAAAATATATCTTCTCCCTCCCCACCCAAAAATCATTGCTGCATTTTTGACGTATTTATATTGTTCAAAAAAAAAGGTATTTTTACCTAAAAATAAGTAACAATCTTTTCTTTCAGCTACTTGGAGATCACGTGTAAAGATATGAAATTTAATCTGAAAGGGTAACTGTGAAGAGACTGTGTTTAAAGCATAACTTACCAAGTTGGCTTATTTCTGCTTTGTCTGTTAAACTGCTTATATTCTCTCTCTCGGCCAGCTTCACTATGAAGTTGCAGTGTATACTATGAGAAGAAAAAGCTTTAGACTCAAGAAACAGATCTGCCTCAACTTTACAATGCATGAAAGTAACATCAAATGCTAAGTGAAAGCACATTAGTACAAATGCTAAGTCTGAAAGCACATTTTTCCTAGGGTCTTTGAGATTTCAGGATATTTTTAATGTGCATAAAACACTAAAGCCAGGCTAAATAGAAGAGCAGTACATCAGTTTATGGCTGCCTATTTTCTCTTCTCTCTACAGACACTGTTGATTCTTAAAAGGGGTCCTCCCTAATTAATGTTAGCCATTAAAGAGTTGACAACTTTGTAAAGATAATAACGCAATCTCCACTGTTACTGTAAAGAAACTCCAGAGAGGAACTAGCAAGTGTCCTAGGTGGCTATGTCAGTGTATATGAAATCTCCATCAGCTGGGAAAATCCAGTTCTCTCTCTCTTGACTCCAGAGAGAACTTAAATGACCCACCTGTGCAGGTTACACATTTACAGTTATAGCTCCATGACTTGAAAGCCTGCCTAAACTAGCAAACCTACAGTAAGAATTCTTCACGTTCAGCAAACTCGAACACACAGGTGAATGAAAAGGCAACACATAAAAGATGAAGTGAAGCTTCTTTCCAGTTAACAAGAATTAAAAGAGTGCCCAAACTACTACCAGTATATGACAGGAAGGTGTGATCTGACTTTCTGTCTATTACTATTTGAGCGATTTGGACTTTTCTTTCATCCTGACCCAGGAATATAAACCCCAAATTCAAGTATTTGGGGAAATGAAGTTCCACATTTTGTTTTAGAATATAGTCTTTCCAAGCTGACAATTTTAAAAGACCAGCAATTTAGTGGTGAGTAGCAATTAAACTGACAGACATTATCTGTATTTCAGGGTTTCTAGGATCACCTCTGTGGAACAGCCCTGCTATTCAGCCCACATATATTTCTCCATTCTCTTCCTCAAATTTAAATTCCTAGAATGTTTGTTTTTTTTCTTCTGTTACACAGTCATTCATATTGATATATCACAAGACAATATATGAGATTTTAAAATATATGAGAATTTGAAAAATTAACAACAAACCTCTGGTTTTCTGCACTGCATTCCATAACAGAGGACTGTAATGATAAGTGAAAATAGAAAAAAATTGTCAGGAGAAAACATGACTCATACTTAAATAATGACATTATCAGAAATAAGTTGGAAAGAAGTTTTCCAAACAGTAACAACAATTAGTAATCTTACCTCACTTATTGCTTGCAATGTTTTGTTGAACTCTGAAATTCTTTAAAATAAAAAGTTACTATTTTGGAGGATTTCTAGTTATGCTTTTAAAGACAATTACAACTATGTAATGAAAAGAACAAGCAATTACTGAGAAAAAAAATATTTCCAGTTGATCAGTGATTTTTTTTAAATCATACCAGTTCTAATATTGTAAAAACACTTTTCAAAGGATTAAACATTTTTAAAGTTGCCTTTTACTAGGCACTCCACAAATTAAGTTTAAACCTCTGTTATCAAATATTTTAACATCAATCCAGATCTTTAAAAGTTATTTAAAAGAGCCAAAGATAAATCTTAATGTTGCCTTTTGGCAAGCAAGCATTTGGAGCAGAATTCTGATCTATACTCAAAGGCACAGAAATAGAATGAGTAACAAATATGGATTTCTTCTACAAAAAAGACCTGTTGGCCAATTACATCTTTCTCTTATTCAAACCTATCCTTATAAAGACTGTGAAAGAAGAAACTACACCAAAATAAAAATACAGATATGACTCCAAGAATACATATTAAAAAACATGTAGCTGTGGAATTTCTCTGAGTAATTTCCCACAAGACAGATCGAATCCCTGAAATTATAAAAAACATTTATTCATGAAGAGCAGCAGCCAGACTGGCATTCTCAACAATCCACAGCTCAGGTCCTGATGTGGTGGTGGCAGTAGTAGTAGTAGTAGTAGTAGTAGTAGTAGTAGCAGTAGTAGTGGTGGTGTTGGTTTTGCTATTGTTATGATTATCATTATCACTATTATTACTATTATTAAGATCATCAGAATATAAACAAGGGCTTTGGGCCTTGTTGAGCCCCAAGGAAACTAAAGGACCTAAAAGGAAATCAGCAAGCATACCATTTCTTAGAACAAACACCAGTGGTACATAAAACAAAACTAAGACTATTCTAACCAATATGAACTTTATGTTAAAGAACAGTAACTTACAACTCCTGAAATTTTTAATTTATAAAGTGCAGGAATAATGCAAAGCGAAGAGTCTGCTAACCAAATGGAAGGTCTCACTTCATCTTTTTTCAAATATAACAAAGATTTCAATCCTTATTTGAAATTACTTACCTCAATTCTTGTGGACTAGGTGCTGGAATTGCCATTAATTTTGTAACTTGATTGTTGACAGTTATGTTATTAATCTGTTAGAAACAAAGATTCCATGGCTAAGTAAAACCAGTCATTTTTAGCCTTAGAAGAAACATGTTAATTTCACACATTTTAAGTGTCTGAAATTCCAAAGGTAAGAAGCAGATTTTCTCATGAATACGTTTCAACAAATATTTACCATGACACTGTTGTCAAAACTTACAGAAGGGATTGGCTCATCTAGTATAGACCAAATAACAGGATCTGATTTGTGAAAGATATGGGCAAAAGGATAGTGACCTCACCATATCTCATGTTGGAAAAACTGGAATTCAGCTTAGTTTGCAACAAAGACAGTTTAGACCACACATTGAACAAACTTTCTAACTGTAAGTGCAGCAATGGGACAAGCTCCATAATAGACATAAGTAACAGACAACATAGAATCCTGGGAGTAAGAAGTCAAGAACTGAGGTAAAAGACATGATAGGAATGATCTAAACATATATGATCTAGCCTCAGGGCTGGGGGATACACTACGGTTTATCTAATGGCCCTTTACAGATCTGCATTCTCATGTTCTTCTGGTTGCCATCATTAGTGGTTATTTTTGCATTTCATGCAAGCAGTGAGCCCCATGATGAAAACATCATCTAACACATATGGTACTGACATTTCCCAATAAATATTATGCTGAAAAGAATTTCAAGAGACAGGAAACTTGTTTTTCTAATAGCTCTAGGCATAACGTTAATACACTTGGATGGTTTCAGCAGGCATTGTCAACACTGAAATGCAACGCAATGTAGAGGTGGTTTTTGCCAGGTGCCTATCCCTGAGCAAACTCAATACTCCATGCGCACCTGGGCAGTAGCTCTCTGCTGTGATTTTGCTGACTACTCTCATGCTTGCAGAGACTGGCATGTGAAGTCTGAGACTGAGTGTAGACAGGGATGGGCAGGAGAAAGATACGAAGTCCTTTACGAGCTAATGTCTTTTTTTTCCCTCCCTCCAGTTTTCCATCTATAACAACTAAACGTTCTCATTCTCATAACCTCAATACTGAATAAACTATATGATACTTGCTTTGCATGATATTATTCCCTTAAACCTCTGTTGTGTTGTGTAAGTGGACACATTCGTGTTACATAGGCCTATTGAAAAATTAATAACTGATTAACCACATGCCAAATAGCATAGACCGATACCCTATTTATGAGAGTCTCAACATGAATTATTCCCAGGATGCAATCCAACATAATTTATAAACACACTGTTGCCAATCTAATGATGCTTGCCTTCTAAAGTGCCTAAATTAATCTCCAAAGGAAGATCCTGTATGCCTAAAGGTAGATTCCTAGTTAGGCAGCTCTTCTCTCCAGACTTCCCAGGGCTTTCTCCTCCTTTTGGTGTCTATATAGAGAATACAGGCCCGTACTGTAGGAATTTTGCTTATCTGGAATTCTAAAATTTAGCTGCAAAGCAGCTGTTTAAGAGAGAGAGAGTAGATCCACCCACTGTAAGTATTAACTTGTACTCCAAACTGTATTCGGAATAAAATAAAAATATAAAAAAACATAGCAACAATGTTATGAAGTTTTAATTTCCTTACAATGAAGTTTTAAAAGAGAGAACACTTACTATTTCTACATTTAGTGACGTGTTACTTTCTTCACTTGCCTCAAGTTTCGCCTTGCCCACATAGAACGCTAAAACCAAAAGGCAAAAAAGAAATTCAACAGTAAACCACATAAGGTAAAATTATTTGAGAATTTAAAAATTCACTGTCTTGTGTTACAATAGAAGGGAAATAAGAACACCTACACTAGCTTTACTGATCATTCACTCTTTTTGTAATTGTTCTTCCATCTCTTCACTTACAATTTCCACAAATTAATTAGTCCAATAGCTTAATTATTTTCTGTTTATTTATTTTTGCTGGCTATCTCTAAATTCCTTCTATTTCTTTTGTTTGTTTGTTTTTTCAAAACAGAAAAACTGCACTGCACATTACTATTTATACAACTCCAACTCTCACAACAAGAATAAAATGTGTGGGTAAAGGCAAAGTGATAGTCTGAAAATTATTCTGTTAGGGATTAAAGAACTTTCAGGATACTATAATTCAGAGCATCATTCAACAGTCCTTGAGAGCTGGTAGGCACATTTTGAAGACAAAAAGGAACTTCTAAAACATGTTTCTTCCTGCAGCCACACATCCAGTGCAGGCTATAAAGACCTGTACAGGAATGCATACGTGACATCACCCAAATCATCTAGCAATCTACTGTGTCAACCAGTAGGGAAAATTTATAGGTGGCAGATACTTATTCTGCCTCTTTCTAATCTATAAAGTACTCAGCATGTGGCTACTTGGCAGAAGGGACTTAATTTATTGAAGTGTTTTGGAATGCAGTAGTATGTATCAACAAAATCTTTCGTTACATTTTTGTTAAGACACATAAAGGGAACATTACTGCCCTTTCCATTTTCCTTTGTCTGTTCTGTCACATTACACTTTTAAAATATGCAGGCTTTTACAACAATTCTCCTAAACATTATGTCAGCTTCTGTTCTGATAGAGTTAAGCTCAATATGGCAGACATTAGCATCTACCATAGCATACTGGTTTCTTGTTTTCTCGGGTTTGTAAATCTTATCTGCAACTGTGTATTCTTTGATAAGAAACCAAAGACCAAAAATACAATAGACTAAACATTACTTTTAAATAAAAAACCTACATTATATATTAATTTTCAGAAGTGAAACAAAATCTCTCTAAATTCACAAGAATATTTATTACGGAGCTAGCTTTTACACAGCAACTAAAAGTTGCCTCATTACTCAGAATAGAAAATAGTTGGACACGTTTTTTTATACGAAAAAAGGGAAAAAGAAAACCACTAACCTGAAAAATTGCAGACAGATGTTATGTTGCATAAAATGGTTTCTCTTGCTATAACTTCTTTTGGGAAAAAAAAAATCTAGTTAGTAAAAAAGTTGAACTTAAACCCAGTACTGACAAACATACATATTTACAATTATTTCAATGCCTTAACTGCATCTTTACCTTTTAGAAATATTTCACATACTGTTTAAGCTTCACTTCTCTAGGGCACTTACTATGACATTTTCCAAGACACAGTATTCAGACTGAAACATTCTGCTTTTGATTAATTAATTTTTAATAATTTTCTGTAACAGTTTCTGACTACATGCAAGTGGTCTCTATTTTACATTTTTTTAAAATCTAAATTAAACAGAAATCAGCATATCATAAATAAGCTCTTCAGATACCCCAGTGTTCAATCACTAGGTAGCATATTACCTGCTTCTGAGGATCCTCCTATGGCTACTTATGATAGCATGAAACTAAAACTGTTCTACCTGATAGAATTCAAACCATGATGAGAGCAAATATGTATACTCTTATCTAATAGAACATGTCTTTAGTTAGTTACAGCAAGCTTTTGGCTGCTCCCATATTTTGAATACTACTTACACTGCAAATAAGTAACACTGATTCCAAATTAAGGGTACTGTAAACTGTAAAAGGGCTCTGTTGCATAAAATCAAAATAAAGGACCAGAAGTATATTTGCATCCAAGACAAAACTACACTTGTTCATAAAAACAACATGGCAGCACAACTTTCCTCACATAAACAGATAGAGATTGGCCTTCTTTAACAGAAAAACAAACGCTATTTGCTCTGCTGTTATCATTAGCTAGTCCCAAACGACATTGGAATTTTTTTATTTTTTTACTTTTTCGGTGTTACAAACATTTGCCTGTTAAAGATTGATGCTTCACCAATTTTATCACCATCAACAAACAGCCATCAGAGGGTACAGACTGTGAGCTGGCAGCAATATTCAAATTATTAGAAAACATTTTTTTTTTCAGGCAGCAATTTAGATTCAAGTAAATTTGCCTTCCCTTTCATGTTGGCAGTTGTCAGTGAGATAGTTATGAAAATTGTATCAGCACTTTTTTTTTTAAAACAATCCTTAAAGAAATAAAATGCTCATAAATAATTGAATTTGTCAAAATTATTAACTACATAAAGAACAACACTTATAAAAACTCAACACAAAATCCGGGAATGACACGGAAGTAAAGAGTAACATCTGCCTTTTTTTCTTTATAGAGCACCCACTCATGTGCCACCTAGTCTTGCTTAGGATCTCTGCATGCCACCAAAATGCACAAAATAAGTAAGCAGTGTGGAGGATAAAAGACTGATCAAAAATCACTAGTGCTTCCAGCCCCCAAAGCTCATCAAATAACACAGTTGCAAACTTCTTGCAGGTGACTTTCACACAGTCAAATTACACTAGCCAGTATGGCTCCAAGCCAGTTCTACCACTTGCACTAATTCAGTGCAAATACATTCTAACTGGTCTACCAGGCTCCTACATGGATAGTAAAAAAATTAAATTCAGCCTACTCTTATAGACTGAACCTGCTCTGAGAACATCATGACTGGAGTCAGCCTGCTTCAATATACTAAAAAGCATGAGGACCTTTTTTTTTTTTTTGTAAATAAACATGGTCCCTAAGATTGTGTTTCTTACATCTTTGTGGCAACCAGCTGCTCTGATTTACAAAATAACCAAACTCTTCTATATGCAACGACCTATCAAGCATTGGAGAATTAGACCTTCTACCTGGCTGGAGATCAATGTAATCTAAGGCAGACTGCTAATATGACACACCATAATACCAATAAAAAAGATCCTATTAAAAACATGTGGGAACAGACTTCCTGCACTCATACACACTTAAATTTTGAGGAACATAAAAGAAGATCAGGGGTGACATATGAATCCTACCTGGTTTTATGGTGGAGTAATAATCAGTGATGTCAAGAGCTTCTGTTAAAAAAAAAATAAATTAAAATTAAGCTTTCACATTTTAACTTAAAAAGCCTATGGAATACATGTCATAAACCCAAGTTTCCTAATTTCTACTTTAGGCTCTGTCTTCCCAGGAGAAGTGTAAACACATGGGGAAATTAAGTTACTTTCAGCATGGGAAATGAAAAAGCAGCATTCTAAATAAGATCCATCTAATCAGCTGTTTATGTCCCCACATATGCCAGTCACTCTAGTCTCCCTATTATTCAGTGTAGAAGGTGGTGCTTTTAAGGTGTGATTCCCATTTAACTTATTCTACATGGGCACTTCAGCTTAAGACAAATTATGTTCTAAAAATGTGTCTTTCTCTCCATGAAGAATAGCAGGATGCCTAGCTTCTATACAGACATGTAGGAATCTGTACTGATATGGAATGGACCTAATCCTTGTTTTCAAATGCAAACCTCAGGGAAAAAAGGGGTAGCAAGTTGTTCTGATTGAGTCTTTACTGATCCCATCTGGCGATTCATTGCAAGAACATGTATTATGTAAATATCTTTAAGGAACAGGGTGTACATTTTAGTTCTGTAAAATACTTTCCATAGAATCAGAAAGTACAGAAAACATTCTGTCTATAGATACATCAACAAAGTACATACTTGCTAAAAATAAATATACTCAGTTTGGGCTTTGGAAAGCAATGTAATATTGTGAATAAAACAAAAGGTTAACAACCCAGTGTCTGTTAAATGCACTACAAAACTCTACCCATGGAGATTTAAAATACAGATTGGGAATAAATACAAATTTTAAGATAATGTTAAAAGATAATTTGGAATAAACAAATCCCAGCTATTAAAAAAAAAAAAAAAAGACAACAAACATCTCCATTCAGACCTTACTTTCTTCATGCTAATTGTTACCTGCAGTTTGTGTAGTCTCCTCTGAAGTCATATCTGAAGAAGAAAAATTAATAACAGTAAAAACAATAAAAATAAAATAGAAATCTAAAAGAAAAATCTAAATCTAACTAAATCTAAATAAGATATACATTAATAAAATCTCGCCTGAAAGACTAATAGGATACATGATAAAAGTAATAATAGAAGATTCTGAAAAAAAAAAGATGATATGAATTTTGGAGAAGAAAGATCAAGCATGCAACCCTTCAAAAAGGAATGGAATATTTTTTATCTAAGTGCCATTTTAAGAACAACTGCAGTGCTTTCTAAAAATGCTCACATTATTTCAATACAAATATTTAAAATAATGTTCACATTATTTCAAAAATCTGAGTATCTGAATGCAAACAGCTGGTAATTGAGTTCCTTCAGATAAGTTTCTTTTATTGGTTTCATTATTTCAGAAGATGCAGATGAATCTGGCATATCCAACAGCAGTAACTGCTTAGCCCCAAGGACCTCTTCCTCCACAAACTCACAACATTCATGAGCAGAGATCACACCCTGGGTTTGGTAAACTGTCTCTCCAATAAAACTATTTTTGCCAATAACTATATATAAATAAAATAGAGTGAGGATGCAATTTTTTTTTCAGCTACATCAAATGAAAAAAAAAAATTACTTTAGGACAACATGAGAAAGTTTAAAGGTTATTCAGGAAGGATGTGCTTAGTAAGCACATTTTAGGTGTCAGCACAGGAATACAAAGAGGACCACTTTATAACACTCCAATATGACAACTTAGTGACTTTTTAAAAATGGGCCAGAGTAGTTTCATAACAGAACAACGTTATGCTTTCCAAACTTCTTTACTCAAAGCTTCACTGTCATTAGCAGAAGCAGTATGTTAAGTATAATAAAGAAAAGTTGGTGGCTCTGCATAAAGACTGCATATCAAGGAAAAAGAAAACAATCTACTTCATTACTTGAAAAGGCCAAGGGGGCTTTTCTTTCTGATATATTTAGTTCAACTAGACTAGCCATTTTGAACCTTTTGAAAAGTGCCCTCTTAATTCCATACTCAGTAAAAGCTAAGCCTATTTGGTTCTTAAGTAACAATCCTGAAGACAACTAACAGGCAGCCAAAATATGAGGAATCAGAATGAAAACTAAATACTGACTTCATTTATTTGGTTTTATTTGGTATTATTTGGCTTCGTATAAAATACAACAAATATTGAATTGGCTGCAGTTGTTAAAGATGAACCTGAACCATTCTCAGAGAAAGACTGTATCTGTAAAAGAACAAAAGCATGTGTGTTGTGTCTTTATTATTTCTTTTCTCCAGAGTACAATATGTCAGTATACATTAAGCAAGAAAGCAACTGGCTTTCACACAGCTATTTCTGTGTGTCTACATTCTTAATTTTTAAAAAATGCTTTCATAGATGATGTTCATCACCTCTGGTCCCAGAAGCCATTCGTCTCGTGTGTGTTTGTGTGTGCATGTGTGCACGTGTGTGTGTGTATGTGCGTGCGTGTGTGTGTGCAGTACACCACACTGCATGAAATGACATATGCACATCTGCTAGGGTGGGAGGAGATGTAAGGGAGCTCGATCGCTGCAGTATTCCTCCTCTGCCATCTCTGCAAACTGCTCACTGTTTACGTTACTGGACAAAAGGCTCCTGATCAAACAACCTGCACCTACTTCATCCCCAAGCATCACTGCCATGAGTGATCCTATAAGGTAAACTATTTCATTACAAAGTAGAATGAAGAAATTAATTTTCTCTTCAAAAAATATACAATGAAAACATAAACTGTTGGAACTCAATTACTATACGACTTTTCTGCATTATCTCAGATAAGAGCAGATTTTTCTAACAGGAAATAACAAACAGTGCAGTAATCAGTAAAGTCCTGATTTTCTTACCAGAAATAGTTGCTGCAGCTGTTTCTCCGGAATTTGCAGCTTTTGCTTCAGACAGAAAAAAAAAAAAAAAAAAAAAAAGAGGGGGGAAAAAAAGGACGATAATGAAGTTTCAGACACATACATAATCATCCTCAGCAGCCTTTCCTTATATTATCTAAAGTTTACTTCATTCACCAGAAGAGGGCAACACCTGCTTATCAGAACACTTCCAGGTTGTCAAAAAAGGCCTATGTAGCAATCTCTGATTAAAAAAAAAACAAACCATTTTTATGAATTCAAATATAATTCAACTGAAGATTATTTATTTTCAACAAATACTGTACAGTCTGCATTGTGTAAGGTTAAGAAAACAAAAATCATTGACCCAAGTTATGTGCCACACTAGCCTGAAAGCTGTATGGCTACCCTGAGCATCTTGCTAATTCTGGAAATGGGAATCAAGCATACATAACCAGATGGCTGTATTTGGGTATGAAGAACTCTTTTCGGACTTTGTATAATAACACTGAGACTTGCCATTTAAAATTTATCCCATACATATCTCTTCTCCTTTCTATCCTGCAAAAAGCAGCATTACAAAATGCTAATTTATTTCAAATTTGAATCTCTGATCTTGATAGGAGCCAGCCAATTATTCATGTAAAAAACACTAGCCACTAAATCTTTGATGTTGTTACAGTCAGTATTTTGATCAAAAAGTAATTAGGAAATTTGATAGCTGGTTCACATAGCAAATTCAAGGTTAGCCCTTTCATTCACTGAGTGGTTTTTGACAGTGCCATGGACAAGTCAAGTCACAGCTATCACATAAGTATCATCTAAAGAACAGCTGTCTGCAAATATGAAGCAATACTTTAAAAATATACTTAAGGTACTTTGACGTCTTCTCTAAAAACTCAAAAGTCATCCTCTAATGTTACTTACAATATACTATTTATACTGTAAAGCCTTTCCTACTGTTGTAGAAAATTTAAGTCAGAGATACCAAAAGTCTCTGCAGAAATCCAAATTTTTTTGTTTAAACATAGTAAACAAGGAGTTTCTGAAATGCTAATCACTCACATGATTCCTTGCTCAGACTATTTTGCTTGCCTTACTGAAAACTAGTAATACCTTCTTTCCAAAGGATAAATGTAAATATAATTTCTTCAGTGAAAGGCGAATTGGAGTCATCTCAGTGACCTTATTTTCATTTTCTCTGGAGAATTACTGATGCTATTTGCACCATGAAACATGCTAATAAGCCACCAGCATGGTATGGATAATTAATTTGCAAATATTTACATATTCTTAATTATCACCATTAATTAAAAAGTAACAGTAGCAGCAATCTTCCTATGCACTTTCTAAAATACAAGAACAATGGGGGAAAATTACACAGAACCTCCATATATCTGTTACCTGGTTTTTGCTAGGCAACATAGCAGCAGTTTCAACTACAAAGGAAGATATTTTAGGAGCAGAAGTTTTTATATGTATTTGTACACATGCATATATATACACACTTTTTTAAACATAACCATTTTAGATGTGCTGTCCATCTTAATTCAAGCCAGTTTGCAAAACTACTTTGCATCCATTGAGAAATGAGTGTCGCGTCCTTTTGAAAGCTGGAAGTTGAACTCAAAATCGAGTCCAATTTTTTACTCATTTTATCACTTTTATATTTATGAAAGACACACATTAAGGTCTGAGCTTTCCCACTGCCCTTTCACTGTCAATGTCTTCAGAAACCCTCTCAGCATATTTGCTTGAGTGAAGATGAAGTAGACTAAATGGCAGCAACCAAAAATGTAGCAGGTACACACAGCTGTGCTTTCACACAGTTATTTTTGTAAAAATGTGGTAGAGAAATGCTGACAAATTATTCAAGAAGTGGAATTTTATTAATACAAAGAGAAACAGAGAAATTAAACCAAGAAAAAGCAGTTGGGTAAGACGGGGATGCTTTATTCCATACGTATTTACGCATTACATGAGATGTACTTTGAGAATACATCTACATCGTGATATGCATCTACATCATGTAGATGCTCACCTGCTCAAAAGCTGCATCACCAAAGAACATATAAACAATGAGCAGATAGATTAGGCTGCCAGAAATGAAGCAGCTCAGGTGGACCTGGACTGGGAATGAAAAGGTGAGCTATTTCTAGCTCAATGGGCCCATGAAACATGTCCCTAGGGACACCTAGGGAGAGGTGGAACATACAGATGAGCTCTTGATCAAGGTGTGGATCTGACAATTAAAGCTATCACACAGGCTACCCGTGAATGTGAAACATGTGCTGTAATCAAGTGAGCCAAGTGACTAAAGTCTCCCTGGAATAAAAGATGGTGACTGGGCCTAGCAGATTGATTACATCAGACTACTGCTGCGAACCTCCCACTAAGGCAAGTGTTATATGATTCCCATGGTGGAGGCAACTAGCAGGTGGATAGAAGCATACCCTGCAGACTATGCCACCACCCAAAACATTATCCTTAGCCTTGAAAAACAAGTGGCAACAAAGCACAACAAACGGTTAAGGCACTATCACCTACTTCAGCACCCTTGATAGCTGACACCCTGCCTGTTGGGGCAAGGAGGAAGAGATATTCTCTTCAAGTCACTGAATGTGGTGGGACACTAGCCACAGCGAAGATGCAGGCCCACGGAATCACAGAGGAAGAAAGATTCTCTTTGAATTGCTGGAGCTGGTGGGATGGTTTCTCCACAGTGCCTTGATAGCCAGCCATTCCATCATCACCAAGGTGTTGGCATATGACACTGGTGCGTACTGTACTAACCTCTGCCACATGACCCATGTGCAATGGACGTCATCCAGATCTTTGGAGACCTGGCTGTTGTCTAAGTTGCTGTAAACTACCTCCACCACAGCTAATTCCCTCAGATACTGGACACCTTCCTTCTTCCACCAGTGGTGGTCCACTTGCATCTGTAGTCTACACCACCATCCTTGGAATCTGAACCCACTGATCCAAGTTAAAATCTCTGTTGGACCTCCAGCAACCAACCAGTTGGAGTGACACACAGGAAAGTGCTCTGATAGAGCAAATTCCTGGATAGCAAGGTATGTGGGAGAATCTGGGCAGATGCCAAGACCAGTTTTCACCTCTGATGACTTGAGAGTTTACACCTGAACAGGCATGGAATCCTGCTGAAATGGCAGACCACTTGAAGGAAGGATGTCTTGCTTACACCAAAGTCAGACAGAGACTTTTGGTGCTGTGGCCTGGCCTATGCCTACCAGGCCTGTGTCCAACACCCTAGAAGAAGCAAGAGGGTCTCTGGATCTAAGGACATACAAATGGATGGTGTGCCTAAACCAGAAACACAACCCTAACCATAACAGCCACTCCTGCAGTCAAGCGGAAACAGTGGAAGTGGAGGCTGACTCAGTTAATGAATGAGGAAGAAGATTCAGAAAAGGCAGCCTGTTCTGCAGCAGGGCAGCCACAAGAACAGGAGTGGGAAGTGACAGAAATCGTAAGAGACATAAAGCACCCAATCCCTATTCTTGATCAAGCTGTGAGATATGCACAAAGATTACAGCTGCCAGCCAGGGAAGCAAATTGCTGACTGGTTGCTCCAATGCTGAAATAGTGTGGCCAACGATCAGGAGTAAGAGAGTACATGAGAGCTTGATGAGATGTAAAGAAATGTCAGTTCATGTTTACTGAATGTCATACACTGCATGAAGTTAAAAGCATCAACTCTGAAATATGGCAGGATGAATACATGGAAATCAGATTAATTGCACTATGTTTAATGTTTTAGGCATTTTCCTTTAAATTAACTGTTAGTTTTAGTTGATTTGCATCCTGGGTAGAAATGTTCGCATGTAAAAGGAGGGAAGGAGAGGGAGAACCAATATTCTAAGTAAAATAATACACATTGATTATGTAAAAAGTCTAAGTAAAAAATTACATCTTCATACGTTATCAGCCCACTGAATTTAAACTATTTCAGTAAAGAGAAAACCAAGTTACATCACACATCTCATTTGAGACAACTAGGATTCAGACTATAGAGAAATACAATTAGTCTTTTAAACATCTAGCACTATGTGAACTCCACAGATCATGAAAGCTTGGCTATAACCTTAATTTTTACAGTCAATTTTCAGGAAAATTAAGACTTCTCACTATATAGTAAAATACATGATCCTATGAGGTATGTGTTCTAGAGCTCTTATGTATAGGCATTGTTACTTTAACACTGTACAGTGATTATGTATTACGCCACCTATAAAATTATTTTCTTAACACCTAGTGTGGTTTTAGGGATGACCCTTAAGATACAATACCAACTTTAAATAATATGCAGAAGTGAAGCAGTAGTCAGATAAAACTGTTCTGTATTGTTCAAACAGTAAATAGTTTTTTTTAAGGTAGAATGGGTTGAGTAAAAATAATTGAGTCAATTCTATATGAAGTGGCCCTTTGGATAGAGAAGAATGTATCCTTCCATATGTGGGTAAACTGGCTTTCCTCCCACATGAAGTGAATTCCACCTCCAAAAATTTACCTGACACTGATTCTGTCTTACTAAGTGGTTAGCACCTTGTGCAGAAGCCCTTATCTTCAATCAAAGGGTGCTGGAGGAAATTAAATTCTCAAAAGCAACCCACCTCTTGAAGTATTCAGCATCTCACAGAAAAGACCACCACACTGCTTCCTCTGCCCGCTGAAAAAATTTAAAAAACCTGCCTGTGGAATCTGACTTTAAGGGCTTTCTCACATACTCTTGAGGAGCCAGTATAGACATCATCACTGTAGACTAACTGCATTTCCCATCCTCCGTATCCCTTCAACCTACTTTGTGAATTTTTGAGAATACAAGTAGTAGTATCCTGAAATAGGTAAGAAAATTGGCCGCTAACACGTTTAGCACTGTAGGTTTGTAAGAAGATAGTGAACTCTAAAAATCCCAAATGCTTTTAATGATAAGTCCAGCAGTATAGGGAGCAAAATAAGTTAAACATATGCCATGGATATGGAGCTGGCAAATGCAGCAAGTGATGATGGCATGCATAATTTGA